AGAACTGATAGTAGCAAATATTTGCACAGCATGAATAATATACAAGTGCAGCTCTGTTTGACATAAATTACCTCATTTAATTTCACCCAACCCTGGGAGGTGACATCACTATCATTAAACAAATGCAGACACTCAGAGGTAGAGGCTGAACAGTGTACCCAAGGTTCCTGTCCTTAAGACTGGCAAAGCCGGGGTTGGAACCCAAGCAGCCTAACTCAAGGGACCACAGACTCGCTATGCAGACCAGGCTGGCCTTGAACTCACTTTGTAGCCCAGGCTGGCCTCAAACTCACAGCAATCCTCCTGCCTCAGCCTCCTGAGTGCTGGGATTACAGGTGTGCCCCACCACACCCAGCATCAGCAGATTCTTTACAAGGCTCCCCATCAATTAAGGAAAAAAGAATTCCAGAGAGGCAAGATTCACTTAGGAGAAGATAATCCGCTAGGTTCCTTACAAATGTAGCTTCCAACAGGGTCCTTCCTAATTAATTACTTGGCTGAGACTCCAGGCTTGTTCTGGATGACGGCAGCAGAAAGCACCTTTTGCTAGCTGCAGCAGAAAGGAGTAACTGTGGGGGCCTGGAGGCGGGCACTGCGCACGCCTGGGTGGGAGCACGGTCCGGGAGCGGGGCGGAGGGACAGCCCCTGAAGGGAGCGGGGAGCATCCTGATGGAGCCGTGTGCTCCTCCAGAGGTGTCCTGACAGCTTCACTGACCCCAACTCAAAGCCTGGCGGGAGACCCAGGAGAGGGCGTGGCTGGCTCCAGCACTTCTGAGAGTCCAGGAGCACAGACTCCATCAGAACAGATGCTGGCGGCCAAGGCAGCACAGGCATCCGCTGCTCACCAGTCAGGGGATTTCTCAGAGTAAGCGTAAGGAAGGGAGAGCACGTCAGCCAAGCAGTACAGAAAAGGAACTCTGCCCTAGTCACCTGTCCTGGCCAACTCAAATGACAAAAGCCCAGGTCCCGGGTCTCCCTTTGGGTTTGTTTGTATTTTTTTGATTTCTTGTGACAAGGTCTCACTATGAAGTTCAGGCTGGCCGAGAAGTCATGGTGATCCTCCTGCCTCAGCCTCCTGACAGCTGGGATTATAGCTTTGTTTCTTGGGTCTTGAAGCAATGCCTTTGTCAAGACTTCTACTTACCCAGGTCTGCAACTGTCTCAGCAGGAATCTCCCCCCGCCCCCGTTCACGCATCCACCTCACCTCCGATATGACTGACCCAAGCAGCAGTGTCACCTGCAGCAACGTCTCACAGTGTAATGGGTTATTATGGGGCACAGAAGATTTGAGGCAACTTCTTCTACCTTATTTACTCTAATTTAAGCAAAATGTGATTAGTAAAATTACTTTAAAATACATATTTCCTCTAGGAAATATTTCCCATTTTTTTCTCATAAAATGAATGACAGTGATTTGAAAGTCCCAGATGGATGAATAGGAAATTTCTTTATTACTACTGAAATTGAATTCATTCATTATAAATCAGATTGGATAATGCTACTCAAAGCTTCACATTTCACCTGGAAAGAAATCTCATTAACAAGATAGCTTTTTACAAATTAATTTCCTGACCTCTTTCTGTATAGAATGGAAAGGAGACTCACAGATATTTGTTCTAGTTATATCTGAGCTTGAGATTTTTATATTTGGGATTCTATGTAATACAATAATACAGGTAATTCCAAGTGAATTTTTAAATTAAAAATGACAAATACTGGGAGTGATCCTTGAGAGGAGTGTGCGTTACCATCACCCCAAACGCAGCATTTGGGCTTCTGTTCCCTCCTGGCCTACAAGGGAACTTTCCCACACGCCTACACTGCAACGCTGTGACTAGGGAACCCTTGGGGAAATGGTTTCTTCATGAGGAAGTTCAAGGCATGAAAACCAACCAAAACTCGTAAATCCCGCAAAGCAAGGCTTCTTCAGTGTGAACTGGACAGCAACACTTCTCCAAAGCTCCTGCGTGATGGGTGCGGAGGAGCAGATAAAATCTCCCTTGTGGTAATTACAAAGCCTGCACACTGCGTCCTTCTCTGGTGCCAGTCAGGCTGGGACCTCAGGCTGGAAGAGGGGCGCAGGGCTGGCAGCAGTGCCGGGGCTCAGGCCCCCCTGGGGTGGGCATGAGGCTGGCTCCTCACAGGGCTCAGCGCGGGCACCAGACAGGCAGCACGAGTCCTCTGGGTCAGGACCAGGGCCTGGCAGCCACTGTGGCGAAGACGAGCCGGGCGCTGGCTGGCTGGCGGGACTCTGCAGCCTGGACACAGCGGGGCGCTGTGCAGAGAGGACGGCCCTGGGGTCCCCACCCAGGCGTGGGAGACGCTGCAACTGTACTGACTCCACCTCCCCCCAGAGGCCTCAGCTGGAGCTAAGGAAATGGGTGAGCTGGGTTGGGGCTGACACTGCGCCTCCTCTCCGCGAGGTCTTCGGCTCAGCAGTGATCGGTCTCAGCCCTTCCCGCTTTCCCACGTGCTCCCTCACATCAGAGTATCGCTCTTGACACTGCGCTTTCTTCGAACACTTGACTAAATGCACTAAGCGTTTCCGGGGTTCCTGCCCGCGGTGCACTCCCCTTCCCGGGTGCCCCCTCCGGCTGTGCTGCCGCTGGTCAAGCACCGACCTTGGAGAGCTCTGCCTTGGAGGCCACCGAGGCGTCCTCCCTGGGGCCTGAGACTGGAAAGCAGAGGCTGAATTGCAAACCGTGGACTTCGGGAGAATGGGCGCAGCGGGCGGGGACCGCAGGGCAGATGCACGTGGCGTCCCCACTCCACACGGTGTCCTCGGCCTCTGGCGATTCCTCTCCAGCCTCATCCTGCTCCGCAGAAAATGTTCCTCCCACAAAATATCCCCAGTCTACATGAAATCTAGTATTTAAATCCACATTTTAGGTCCAACAACAGTTGTATTTTTGTCTAGTTGCTGTTAAGAGATGTTTTATTTAACAAGCACAACAGCAAACGGACAGTCATTTCTGTGGTACTAGAGATTGGGCCCAGGGTGTTTTGCACTGGGCCACATCCCAGTCCTTTATTTTCTATTTTTTTGAGATACGGTCTGTCTTAGTTACTTTTTTTCTCGTTGCTGGGACAAAATACCTGACGCCCAAAATTAAGGAAAGGTTTATTTTGCTTACAGTTCATGGAGGTTTCAGTCCGTACTTGGCAGATTATAAGGCAGAGTGGCACATGGCAAAGAGCTACAGCTCATGGCGGCAGACAACAGCAAAAGCAACGAGCACACACCAGTGAGGAATGGCCTCAAGCACTCTTTTCCTCTCCCTTACATATGCAAACTATCCACCCCAGGGCGGGTGCGGCTCTCACACCCATAATCAAACTCTAAAAGCCTGCCCCATGGCCGCATGAGGCTTTGGGGGGACACACAGACACAAACCGTAACAGGGTCTCTCCAAGTCACTATGTTGCACAGGCTGGGCTCAAACTCGCAATCCCCCCGTCTCAGCCTCCCAGGTGTACAACACCACGGCTGGCTCAGGCTTATTTTTAAAGCTGGTCCCCAAACTGATTTTCTCCTGGCGTGGGTCAATGATTAGGATCATTGGGGATTAGGATCATTGGGGATTAGGATCAGGAGACGTCCTGTGTTGTCAGCCTTCTCTGCTTCTCTGAGACACACAGCACTCACGGGCTCTCTTCTGAGTCCCAGGTCTTACACTCTTTACAGACTGCACACAGACTAAGCATGGATTACACGAAGGCCTCCTTTTGGGACTCTTAGAGAATGGAAGGAAAATTAATTTCAGTTAAGCTCATCCAAAGCACTTCCAGGGTTTGAGTGTTCAGTAAACACAAGCTGCCATGGTTACTATTACTGATAAAACCCATCCTCCGACCTGAATGTCTCTGTGGGTGGTGTTCCAAAACTGAAGGGCTGGAGCCAAACAGTAAGTTCGTCTCCAGACGCGGCCTTTAGTGCCTGGGAGGAGACACGATCCTGGCACAGAGCGGGTGAGGCCCTGACTTAGACTAATGCGCAGGTACACAGCCGCTGATGAAAGAATCCTTCCACCAGCCACTCACTCATGCATTCAGTCAGCGTGCTTGGCCTGACTTAACCCACAATGTTTGTGCTTTAAAATACACAAACATTAGCACCGCTAATCAAAACACTGACAAACTGGGGAACACAGACCTTTATTAGAAAATCCCCATCACCCCTTCCCCCTGCCAGTGCTCGGAACTGGGGCTCCCGGGCCCATGGGTCGCCAGTGTTCAGTGAGTGCCACCCACTTCGGATCTACTGTTCACCCGCCCACACTGACCAGGAATCTGAAGACAAGTCGTCTGTACTTGTCCTCTCTCGCCCATTCCAGTCATTCCTCACGTTTCTCCCTGCCTTGTTCGGAAAATCAGGTGAAAAGTGCGGTGAACGGCTGAGGAACGTGCTGCCTCGCTTCCGTTCCTGTCGAGGAGAAGTGTCAGAGTGCGACAGGCTCCATGGCAAGGCACTCGATGAGCCGTGCTGAGGTGCCACCAGTCCTGCAGACTTGCGTCTCCCTGTGCCCCCGAGGGACACCTGCACAGCATCACCACCCGTACGTCCTTCGGGGTCCTACCCCGACAACTTCACCTGCCGAGACACCTCCGTGCACGTCACTCCACAAGATCCACAAGTCACACTTCAAAGTGGTCAAAACCACACTTCCGTTTCTAGATTAGGAGAGGCCCAAGTGACAGGAAACTGCCCACGTCTCCCAGGCAGGCTCTGCAGTGTGCAAGTCACCCGGACATCACTATGGAAACCATGCGGGTAGGCTAGTGACGCAGCAGGTGGCACTTACCTTCACGGCAGCACCGCTAAACGCCCAGACAAGACGCCAGGCAAACATCACACTACGGTGGCTGCATTTTCAGGCGGGCCTAAAGGGACAGTTCCCTGAGCAACAGTGCAGCTGGCCCTGACACCAGGCACACTGTGAGCCACAGGGAGAGCTCGGTGGCCGGCGGTGAGAGGGAAAGAAATCCCCTACCGAGACGGTTCTCATTAAATCAGAGCCAGCGTTTTTATTTATATACAAGCGTTTGATGTTAGGATGGTGCTGAAATTTTCCTTCCCAAATCAAAGGTGAGACAGTTATGCCCGAGCACTGGTCGGACAGCAAACGCTACTTCACGACCGCGACCACATGCTTCTTCCTCTCCGACACCACCGGCACGGACCCCGGCTTGCTGTGCTTACGGCGATTCAGCTCCCTAGAGAACACAGAATGAAGAAAACGATAAAATAATCGTCTTAACAGAGAAAGCTTTCTCTGTTCTTTCCATGGGAAAACACCTTAACATTCATAATGGGAACAGGTAAAAGGTAGCCGCTGGACAGAAATCAACTTTTGTTACTCATTTCATCACCTCTTATCTACTACCTAGCAGCTTCCTTTACTAAGTTAAAGGCTGCCACAGTTGCTGAGAGATTCAACCCTGACACCTACCCAAAGGTAACAGCCCAATTTTTAAAAACAGACACTTGTAGAGTTTCTGTAATACTCTGCATTAATCCAAGTGCTCCAGAGAGAATACTCCACAGGAGAAATAGAAAAGGGGGTTCTCCTCAGGTGCAAAGTGTTAGCGCTCTAGCTGGCAGTGGTGCACGCCTGCATCCCAGCTGCTCTGGAGGCTGAGACAGGAGGATCACTGGAACCTAGGAGTGTGAGACAGCCTGAGCAACACAGTGAGACCCCGTCTCAAAAAACATCAAAAGGAAGCGTGAGATCTCAAATGTGGTAATGAAATGTACTTTTAGAAATTTACTTAAGAAATGGACACTTCATATAAATTCTTCAAATTCTTACACTTAGAAAATATACATTATCTCATCACTATCTTGGAAATCATTTAAAAAACTACCAACTTGCAATAGTTTTAAATATGGTGAAGGTTTTCTCAGTTTGCTAATTCATTTTCGTCATTAATCCTTCAGACCTATTCTCAGAAACGAGCAAGGGAATTCTCTCTCACACCGCAGATGACCCCTGCTCTCCTCTACTGGCAAAGCGGTCCAGGAAGCGGTTCCGCCCACAGCAGCAGGGCTGCCCCCTGGAGGGTCCCTGCCTGGCCCTGGTGGCTGGGAGCAGGGGCCAACGCCCTACGCCCCAACACCGCGACGCCCGAGGCGTACTTGCGCCGGCGCGCCTCCCGCATGATGCGCTGCTCCTGGATCTGGCTGTAGATGGACTTGGGCAGGTGCCGGTGCCGAGCGATGCGTTTGATGTTAGGATGGTGCTGAAATTTCTCCTTCAGCTTCTGGTTATAGTCCTGGGCCGCCCTTTCTCGGGACGCGAGCTGAAAGCGCACATGGTATCTGAATGAGAAGTGCAGCGTGCTCTTTGTTTTGCCGCCACACAGCAAAGCTAGGGCTGCCCGTCAGCACCTGCAGAACTGAACGAGTAGGACCTGGCAGGGTCCTGTGAGGGATGCGCCCTGCGCGGCCTCCAGCTAATGCCGCCAAACACACACAGGCGGGGCGGAGCAGCGCTGCGCACCCCAGAGGCAAAACAGAAAAGGCCCCTGATTCATTTTTTTGGTAAAAATAATTACACAACAGAAAAAAGTACTGGATTCCATAACGGCTAGGTTAACAAATGTTGAGTATGACACAAATTATAGGAACATTTAATGAAGAACTAAGACCTAGACCTAGTGCAATACTTACCAGTCATTAATTGGAAACAGAATTGTTTTTCATTACTGCTTATTGTGCCTTAATTTTTTTCTACCAGAGCTAAGTAGAAAATAATTCACACTTAACCTTCCTTCCTTAGTATTTCTTCCTGATAAAAATATTCTGTATGTTTCTCATAGAAAATGTAGGACATTTGGAAAAACATCAACAAATAAAAAGCATCAGCTGTAATTTCATAGCCCAAAGGTACCAGCAGGCAGCCAATGATAATACTCACTGAATCCTTTTCAAATCTGAAGCTCGGGTGTTCACACTACAGCGTCTCAAAGTCTGCCCTGAGACGCCCTCAGAGGGAGCCACAACCTCTCACGCCTCGTGGCCACTCCTAGCAGAAAAGCAGCGCTAGACTGTATCTACGCCTCTCCTCCAACTCCTCCCTCCTACTCAAGGAGACCAAAGAAGCAAAGAGGCAAAAATATCACCAACACCTAAATAACAGAGGCACTCTGCAGGCGTCCTTACCATAAAAAGCCTTGTTTGTTCTGTTGTTAATGTGTTTTGTCACAGTGCTATCCATTTGATCAAAATATCTCAAGTACTTCAATAGATGTCTACAGCAGAATGATATCCAATGAAATCAGAAACTTGCTCTACGAAAATGAAAGAAAACGGGGCCCCTTACCACACCCAGCTTCTCAGAAGCATTGGCCTTCCACAGGCGAATGTTCATCTCGTCGGAGCCGCACATGATGTACTTGCTGTCGGCCGTCCAGCGCACGCAGATGACGTGCTGCATCCGCTTGGTGTGGTACACTTCCCTGCGGGAGGGGAGGCGGGGCCTGAGGCTGCAGGCACAGGTCTGCTCTGCCCATCGCCTCTCAACTGTCAGGCCACCAGCTCTGAGTTCTAAGAGCAATTCAAATGCGTTTCAAAGCATTTTTATTGAACCCAACTAATAAGGTTCTATGCTAAGTGCTAGTGAATTAAAAACCAATTCCTGTCTGAAGAAAATTGATAGTCCAGTAAGAAAGTAATGAAAACCAGATATACACAAAATTTCACAAAATAATGAAATACAAATAAAATATCATTTTTAGCTAAGTGACCTTGTAACCAGAAAAAGTAGCTTACTCTTAATAAGTCCTCCGCACTCCAGTTCAGTTTAGCTCAACTGTTACACCCCCCTTTTAAACAGAGCAATAAAGGAAATACAAAGCATTGAAAGAGCATATCCCACTACGCAAACCTGACCTCTGATTTTTGCTTGGCGCACTGTTTAAAAAGCTTCACTGAAGACAGGTGTGGCGATGCACACCTGTTATCCCAGAACACGAGGACGCTGAGGCAGCGGATCCTAAGTTCAAACCCACCCTGTCTTGCAATTAAACAAAATAAAAATGTTTTAAAAATTTAAAAAGCTGGGAATGTAGCTCAGTGCACATGGGGGGTGGCTTAACTCAAGTGAGAGGTGATTTACATGTGTGGAAAAAAGGGGAGGGCTCCCCAAGTATCTGAGGAGCTGAGGTAAGAATCATTTAACAGCGGGGCTGACAAGCAGCGTGCCTCTTCAGGAAGACAGTGAAACTTGCTAAGTAAATTCACAAAAGACACTATCCTGGGAAGTGTCAGAAACACATTAAAAGCAAGTAAAAGATAAGGTCAGGAAAAGTAACAAGGTGAGATCTCCGGAGAAATAAACTTCCCAAATCGGGATCACATGATTCAAAATGCAGGCTGCGTGAGAGAAAGGAAACAGGCCCAGAAGATTATGCAGAGTAAAAGCAAACCCGGAGGCGCGGCCACACAGGATGCACGTCTGTGGAGGACCCATACGCTCGCTCCTACCGGCCTTCCACACTGAGCGCTGCAAGCACTAAGAAAAACCCAGGAAACGTCTTTGTTAAAGGGCAGGATGGCTGGAAAGATCAGCCTATTAAAAGGAAAACTAGATGAGACATACAGCCTTTTCTTGTCCTCCTCAATGTTCTGCTGGTTCAAGACGGAAGCAGGATGTGGTGGCACACACCCATAATCCCTACATTTGGGAAGCTGAGGCAGGACAATTGCTGCAAGTTGGAGGCCAGGTTGGGCTACATACTGAGTTCAAGGCCAGCCTGGGCTACACAGCGAGCTCCTGTCTCAAAAACCAGCCAACCAGCCAGGCGTGCTGGCACATGCACACACCTGTGATCCTAGCACCTGGGAGGCTGAGGCAGGAGGACGGCCTGAGTTCCAGGCCAGCCTGGGCTACATAGTGACCTCAGGGGCGGCCTGAACTACACAGGATCCCTATCACAAAACAAAACACAACCAACCAAGACAAACAGTCTCTGCCCTCTGAAGAGGCTCCTTTTTGGAGAGCAAAATGAGTTTAAATGTACAGAAACTTCACCAGGCTTCAGCAACATTAAAGATAATGGTCAGACCAGTCAAATCCAATGGTTAGTCATTTCACCAACTTAGAACCCTAATGTATACTATGCAGAGTTCTTCTTGCTCACACATATGCCAAATTTAGAAAGCTCACTAAAAGTTACTCTAGGAGACAAACCCATTTTAAAAACTTTAATTCTTCATGTACATAGTCAAACTAATTTCTCCACGTGAATACTATTGGTTTTGTTTGTTTAGCAAATATTTAAGGAAACCCCAGTAGAAACCTACTTCCAAATACTGATTTAACTAGCTTTTAAGAACTCACTTTAAACATATACTATACCCCACTTAATGTCTTTTAAAGGAAAACACTTAAACAACGCAGATATCCAAAAGCTGCCCAAGCCGAGTCAGACAGTATCTATAACACAGGAAATGTGAGCAAGCCATGGAAACAAACTGGAACCGGCTTTCAAGTAAATGAAGGCAAAGGTCACCGTGACTACTATTTTATCTAAATACAACAGGAAGTAACGCATATTGAGACTGTGATTGCAAAACCTCCACACTACAGAGGAGGAAACATGCGGGAGAATGAGGCAGAAGAACCCCTGCACAATGTTCTGGAAGAGCACGAGCTAGAACTTCTAGCTGGACTTGACTTAGCTACCCGGGCTGGCTTTGGAGCAACCGTGCCCAACCCAGCTGCGGGTCCCTGGGGTCCCAGGTACACCACGTCTCTGACTCTGCCCAGTCTGTGTGTCTGCTTACTGTTATGGTAGGAAGGTAGTACTGTTCTACTACCTTCAGGCTGGGGCCAAGCTGATAAATTCCATTCTGCTCAAACTCTGGGAGGTGTGAACAATCAAGGAACTATGGCCAGACTTCTGGCCACCAGACTCCCTGGAGGCACCAGAACCCTCAGGAGGGCGCAGCGCAGCCTGGGTACCAACTCCCCCCCGCTGCCCCACCACAGAGCACTGTCTCTCACCCCGCTGCACAGCTCTTCCTTCTTTCCAGCGTCCTACGCCTTTCTCTCTTCCTTTCCTGCTCCTTCCAATAATTTTGCTACCTTTCACCAGGTCCATTTTCTAATTAAACAGAATTTTATTAAGCAAGACCAGGACACTCAACCAACTTACAGTTCCATACGGATGTGTGCATGAATATACTGTATTTTAAGAGAAATTCATTTACATCATTCTTTTACCTTTTACATGTAGTTATTTCATTGAAGTGGAAGTGGTCCTATCTTCAAGTGTGAATAACACCACCATAACCCTTTATCACCACTTCCATGGGGAGAACTCCTTGAATTTGGCTTATGCTTGCTTCCAAGATCACATCTAAGAATGTGCATCAAAGTGCTCTGCGCATCACAGCTCACACCAGGGGCTGCATCTTACATGGCAGCTGGGTTTAAAGCCAGCCAGTAGAGCAAAAAGTCAAGAACTAAATTACCTTTGAAAACCCTGTAAAGGCCCTAATTTCCTATAAATCACCTCTCTATGACACAGGTTACAATCTAATTTAGATCTACAAACGCGTATTACACTTAGTAACATACAGAATGCAGCAGAGTGGACAATGGCCGCATATCAGCACTGAGAAGAGGAGACAGACGAGCCCACCGCACAGCCGGTCTCCTACCGCCCCTCAGTCCGCGGTGAGAAGACCTCCGAAGCGCAATGCAGGAAGCATGAGCTTGACACTTTAAACTAGCTTTTCCTCTCTTTTACTTTGGTTGAAATGGAATAAATAAAAAGTAACAAATATAAGGTATTAATTGCTCTTAAATGATATTAATACAACATTTATCATATCATCAAACTGAAATTTTTTAGGAAGTTTACTACAAAGCACTTAAAATAATTCTAAAATTAACAAAAAAGATTTGCTATAAGGCTACTGCATTCTTATAACAATACATTACACAAAGCTAATGTCCTGCTCAGTGAAAGACACGCGGGAAGGCTCACGCTCCGTCCGTGGGTGAATGCTGCACACTGAGACCTGAGACTTGACGCCACAGCACCTGAGTGAGCCCGTCACAGGACATGCCCCACCCTCCAGAAAGGCAAATGACGTCGAGCAAAAAACAAAAAACCAAACAAAAGTGGCCTACTGGTAGTCACATACCTGCTTCGACTCCTGTCCACAGGAAAGATGCGGATAGATTTGTCAAAACTGGCAGATACAAACTCCTTCCCCGTGGGACAGTAGTCTACGTCGAGCACGGCAGACACATGATCCATGTGCACCATGACAGGGGTGTCCAGAGCACGCATGTCAAATGTATACAAGCTGTGGAGGTTTGAAACACCGACATGAGTCTAGAAGGAAGCCACGGGCAGTACGAAGAAGACTCTCGCGAAAAGAAGACCCACTAGCTGACTAATACAACACAGCCACACAAACAGCTCAACTGTACACACAGGGAGGAACTGGGAAAAATATCAACCACTGTTGTTACTGCTGCAGAGCACGCACAGGCACACACACACACACACACACACATACATACACACACACACACACACACAGTTTCCCCACGATGAGTGCAAATTTCATTGAAGAAAACATAAACGTTCAAAAAAAGGAGAGCATAAAAATTAACTCCACTACCTTGAGAAATTGTTAGTGCAATGTAATTTTTAAAAAATCTTTTCACTGTGTTAAATATATACTTTTAATAAAATTCGTAATACTGTACAAAGCTCTGTACTGTGATATTTCACATAGCATATAAGCCTTACTCAAACTACTGATCTTTGAAAACACTCTAGTAACTACATATTAGAAAACTATATCTTAGGTAAAACTGGTAAAAACACAACTTTGAGATTGAAGACTTACAAATTCTTAATCAACAGCTAAAAACAAGTGTTCCAAATTAACCACGATGGGACAACAGTCGGAAAACACAGCATTACCACAACCAAGTTCCTCACATCAAAATACCTGCGATACTAAGTGTACGGAGTGTGAAACTGGAGGAAAGGCTACCCACACAGTTTCAAAGTGTCTCCCCACAGGATGCAACGGATACACAAAAACTAACTACAGTGGAAAGACTGGTTGACACCACCTTAACTGCAGTTAACATCAATAATAAAACCTACTGAACATAAACACCACTCCCCCAGAGGATATAATGAGCAGGGTACATCAGTTTTGTGGTATCCTGCCAAATATATAATCTCAACCTAATAAGAAAACGTTCGCTAAACCTAATCTAAGGCCAGCAAAGTAACCGACATGGCTTCTTCGACAGTACATAGTAACGTGTTACAGAGCCGATGCCCGTGCTCTCTCCAAATTCACGGTGAAACCTAATCCCCAGTGTGTGGCTGGTATGTGAAGAAGGCAAGGCTTCTGGTAGATAGGTTACAAGGCTGATGCTCGCATGAATGCAGTCAGTGTCCTTGTAGGAGGGCAGGTAGCCAGCCTGGGCAACATAGTGACTTAGCAAGACTCTGTTCTCAAAATTAAAAGTGCTGGGGCCATCCCCACCGCAGTGGGAAGAAAAGAAAGGATTTAGCCACCACTTATACGGCCTACACCAGAAATCACCCAGCTTCCCCTATAAAGGGCTAGATAGTAAACATTTTGACCAAGTGGGCCACAAGGTTTGTGATGGTCCATCTTGTCAACTTGATTAGACAAGGAACTATCTAAGACATGAATAAAGCATACTTCTGGCTGTGTCTGAGGGTGTTTCCAGAAGACTGCATGTGGGACAGCAAACAGAGGGGACCAATCTTTCCTGAATGTGGGGTGCACCACCCAGGCTGGGGGCCCAGATGAACAGAAGCAGGAGGAACAAGTCCCCCAGTGCAGTTTCTCTCTTTCCTGGCCACCATGAGGTGAGCAGCTTTCCTCGGCCATGCCCTTCTGCCATGGTGCCTCTGCACTGCTATAAGCACTGGAGCCAACTGACTATGGACTGACCCCTCCGAAGCATGGGCCAAAATACACCTTTCCTCTGTTAATTACCATTCTCAGGTGTTTTGTCAAAGCAATGGAAAACTGACTGACACAAGATCTTGTTGGAATTAGTCAACTCAGGCACCATGGCATAAAGACAGCTACATCCAATTTACAAACAAAAGGGGGTTGATGGATTCCAAAGAACTATAAAAAACAGGCCGAAGGCAGGACTTAGTCCATTGGTTATAGTTTAACTGTCCCTGACCTACATCATTCTGAAAAATGAGAAAATAAATATTTTCTAAGAGGCTTTTCTCCAAATAAGGAAATTTTTTTTTTTTTCAGGAAAACAAGTAACAGTGTTCTAACTTGTGCATGATGGTATACTCACCTAATAAACCATCAATAAGACATGTAATTGAACTAGTCCTGATAAAAATATGTTTTTTTTAATTACTGGAGACTCAGGGCCTTCTCACTGAGCCCTAGCTGCCGCCTGCTTCCAATTTTGTTTTGATACAGGGTCTAAGTTGCCTACTGAAGACTGGAACTTGGGGGGGGGTCCTCCTGTCTCAGCCTTACAAGTGCTGAGATCACAGGTGTGTGTTTCCATGTTTGGCTTAGACATAAGTTTTTAAAAGAGAGAAACTTACTTATAATCTTCATTTGCTGCAGTAAAAATAAAAGCTTCCATAGGGTTCCAACAGATTGTATTTGTTCTCATATCTAAGATAACCTACGGAAGGAAGCATATGTTATCCCATTACCATAACAATACTAGTTTCCTCTAAAATAGATAGCTTTCTACTTCATTCACTTAGCTTTCTTCATTGATTTAAGCAAATAGTTGGTAAGTACCTAGTACGTGCACAGTACTCAAAGCAATGAGAAAGATAAACCAAAAACTGTTTCATGAATAAAACACAGGCAGAATGGTAAATACGAAAGAGAGTACTGGACTTCAAATAACTGAGAGTTTAGTCACAAAAATGAGACATATTTAGAAAAATTAAAATATAAACAATACAGCAATAAATTATGAAGTATCAAATTAGGGGCAAAATTAATGATAGGTGAGCTTAGGATTAAAGTACAATAGTGTTTCAATAGACAAGTAAGGTGTGAGCTAAATTATGATGACCAGGTACTCTCAATGCTTCTCAATACAGTGCTGCTATCTTGGGAAGGACAGCTGTTCTGTCATATGTGACAGTCTATTGTAGGATATGACACTCTCAGAACACTCCTCTCATACTTCCAACATTACACAGGGTCTCAATAAGTTGCCTAGGGAGGACTTGAACTTGGGAGCCCTCTTGCCTCAGCCTCACAAGTGCTGAGATCACAGGTGTATGTTACCACATTTGGCTTAGATGTAAGTTTTTAAAAGAGAGAAACTTAGAATCACCACAGAGAAAGAATCAGCCCATGGAGAATCTACTTAGAAAAGGCAGAAGAGGGGGCTGGGGATTTAGCTCAGCGGCAAAAGCGCCTGCCTGGCAAGCGCAAGGTCATGAGTTCGGTTCCTGGTACCGGAGAAAAAAAAAAAAAGAAAGAAAAGGCAGAAGAAAAATTGATAATCTAGTAAAAAGAAAGAGAAAGTAGCCGAGTGCAATAATCTCTGCATATGACCCCCAACTAAATGCTGCCTTCCCTAGTGAAATAAATAACCAAGGGCAAACTGGGACCAGATTGTGGAGGACCTCTAAAGCCAGGGTACAGTTATCTTCCCCAACCCCTGCATAATGGAGCAACATTACACACTGAGAATGGGGGGGGGGGATTACCCCTTATTAAAGTAATTATTTCATGATGGCATTTTGCTAAATGTATCACTTTTTATTCTTACCAATCTGATGCAAGGTAGTGGTTAATACCACCATTTTACAGAGAAACACAGATTAAATAACCCACTTCACCTTTAGGGTCTTCCCAATACAACACATGAATGAGCACAACAACCAAAGCAGGACTTTAGAAAGACAATTCTACTTGTCTATCTCAAATGTCAACAAATATATTCAACTTCCAAAACCTGTAAGTTTACTATGAAGTTACAAAAGTTAGGAACGGAAGTCACAGAAGCGTTTCTTTCACAGTGGGCCGGGACAAAGGCCTCAGTAAGTGAACAAGCCCCAGCCCTTCTCGTGCCCTCACAACCCAGGACTTGAAATGGACTTTCCAGCCTCTTCCTCCCATGGCACGGGAGTTTCTCTCCCTTCTGAGAGCCACTGAAGGCTGCATCAGTTTTGATACTGACTTTGGGAATGACCATCTTAGAATGTTAGGAAGTCTGTTGCTCTGAACAAGGTAACACCTGTTTAACAAAATATCAAACTACCACTCATCAGTACATAAATAAATAAAGCTGGGTATGTGAATGAGTTCTAAAACCTGGAAACAGAATATTGAACACATCATGCAATAACTGGACCCAAAGAGTTATTACACTGTTAAGTAACGGGGTATAATATCTTCCACTGAAGAATTTCACGTAAGTATTAAATGCCTAAAATTTACTGGCATTATGGAGGAGACAAAGAAATTCACAGGTCTCTAAAAAGCAATGGGGAGCTGAGAGATGACCACCATCTCTACAGAAGAAAAAAACAAACACACAGCTGAATTCTGCAAAATACTAACTTAGAGGAGAAAGCACCATCAACTGCATAACACAGACAAAAGTGCAGCTCACCTTTTTCAGGGGAGTGGCTTGCCTCATATCATACAGGACTATGTTCCTGTCAGAAGCACAACTTCCCAAGAGAAAAGTCTGAAACACAGACAGTACAACAGTCACCAGTTAAAAGCCAGGCATGATGGCAAACCATGCCTACTTCAGGCACACAGATTTAATTATCTCTGATATTTACAACAGCAAGAGTCCATTTCACGAGGGTAAAAGAAATGATTCACAATCTCAGCAACCTGAGTATTTTTACTATTAAGTCCCCACACATGTATTTGAGAGGCCAGTGATAATGCACAGGTTATAGTACTAATATAATTCTAATTTGTAACAACGTATTTTACTTACCTTCTTCAAACCAGACTTGTTTATTATTTTGCATTATTATAAATAACACCTCCATAAACACTGTCACATATTTAACTTTTACTTTTGAATTATGACATTCAGATAAAATTTCAGGAGCAACAATAATGTATCAAAATGTACATAAAGAATTTTCTGGCTTTCGATATTTAGGGTTAATTATTTTCTAAGGAGTTGTACCAATCTTCTCTGCAATTCTACTGCACTGGGCAGCATTAAGTAATGTCATTTACAAGTTAATATTTATATGACAATATTTCCTAAACACAAATTTGCTTTGTTAGAATTTTAGTATTACCTTCTATTTGTTAACTCACTATCAATTAGATCTGTCCTTTGTCCAGCTCTGTTGAGATGTTCAAATATTTAACTTTTTTCTTCTTCACTCCTGGAAATTACACCCAAGGTCTTGCTGAGCAAAATCCCCAGCCATTTTTGAAACACAATCTTACTGAGTTTCCCAGACTAGCCTTGAACTTGCAATCCTCCTAACTCAGCTTCCTGAGCACCTGAGAAAATAGGAACATGCCATTGCGCCCAGCCTGTGGGTCAGTTTCAGATATGCAAGGTACCTACAGAGGCCCTGACGTGAAGTGAAAATAAGCCCTCTACCATCCGGTAGAAGCCAGAACTCACTCTTCGTGGCACCATGCCTCCTCCCTCATGGCTCCTGATACCCAGGATCCTGGCTTCTGTCTCCTGTCACTCCTACTGCAAGACAGCAGGAGTCGGAAGAGTCACCAAGGGGCCGCAGGCCGGCTTCCTCCCACTGCTGTGTGCACACAGCTCAGTGGGTGTCACAGCTGCGGCCTCCCCTCAGGCCTCTCCGAAAGCCTGTCCCAGTGACTCCTCCAACCCTTTCCTGGCCGTTTCTTTTGTGCCTGCCGGGGACGATCAGTGCCACTGCTAAAAGCAAAGACTCTGATCCAAGCAAAGCCGAACATTCCACCTCAACTAAAAGCCAACTTTCACACTGTAATGTGTAGCAATACTCAGCATAAACATTTGGCTTTACCAGGATTCTGGGCTTCAATATTTTAGCAGAAAATTAATTATTAATAATCACAGGAGACAAATACACTGCATGTGTTCACAGCAACAGGCCTTTCCATTCAGTTAAACATGGGTAAGAGACTCGTACACCGTTTGTTTTTACAGTCACTTCGTAAGGTTAATTAAAATGCACACACGCACATACACAGCTGAACAAACTGTTATTCAAGCAAGTCGGAAAAAAATGTTCACTAGGTCATGACTAAAAAGTAGATTTCAGAACTAGCCATCAGCTCTTCTGACACAGATACTCACTGAAGTAGAGAACCAAAAGATTCTGTCTGCTCCTTAAGAAAAAATCAGTCTTTGTTTTTTATAGTAATAACACCACCAACTTGAACGTTAGAACTGTATTTTTAAAAAGCGTTCACATATATCATCACAACACAAACTTACGAAGTACACTCGGAGGTACAGTTAGTCTGGCATTACAACCAAAGAACAAGTAGAGAGCTGTGACTTGGAGACCTCACTGCAAAGGACAGGCACTGCATCTCAACTGAGCCTCTCACTGTGCAGGGCACACGGCTTCCTACAAGCGTGTGTAGCTGGCTCCTGCTGCTGTCGCCCGGGCCTGCTCTGCACAGCCAGGTTCTCCTGCAGGGAGGGCACACCTCGGGCACACGGGGAGGACGGTGGTGGGCGGAGGGAAGACGACGCAGCACAAACCGGCTCTCCAGACCAGGGGTCAGCACGTTATTTCTGGGAAAGGCTAGAGAGTAAGTACTTTCCGTTTCGTGGGCCACGTGGTTTTACAGACTCCCCAACCGTGCCATTACTGCAGAGCAGCCAGACAGTATGTAAGCGAGGGAGCACGGCTGTTCTAGTAAAGCAACTCATCAGACAGGTAGCGGGCCACATCTGTTCAGACAGGTTGGTGCCCCTGCTCCAGACTCCCAGCTGCTCCCAGCAGTGTGTATGTGGGCACGTGCTATCAGTGGGAAGGGATCTTCTCAGCATCTGCGTTCCTGGCAAGACCCCATGCTTTGCTCAGTCACATCAGCAGTCCTCAGACCCAGCCACTGTGACTTCACCAATCTTCCCTCCCTTGACCCGTCTGCTTCCCGACTTGCACACCAGAATGTTCTCTTACACCACCAAATATCACAGCCTCCCCAGTAACTCCCAAATTCAGCTTGCATGTGTAGTGGCTTGCTTTCCTTTCTGAGCATCTTCTGGACAATGAATTCATTTGCTCTTCCATCATCAGGGCAAGGTCTAGAGTCCAAGGACTAGCTCAGACTGCAGGAGAGCCTCTACTCCTAAGTTCACACCTGAACAGGTAAGATGGAGTAGATAATCTCCAATTCTTCTCTTGGACCATGAAGGAAGTAGGAATCACAACTGAGTTCTGACCAAGAAAAACGTAACTAATTACCATGCAGTCCATGCATGACCATGCACGGTATTATGATCACTGGTACCCTTCAGAGCTACAGAGAAGACGATGCTCAAGGGCCCTTTTCAACCTTGGAGAGGGTTAAGAAAAATTAACATTTTTCTCGAAGGGCAAAGACACAGCCTGGGGAGCACAAGCGTTCCTTGGCCTCCATCCCCATTGAGCACATGCTCTTCTTCTGATGATGCTTCACACTGGGACTAAAACTTCAAGCAAGTACACTGAGATTTCACAAAATCAGATGTAAGTTGGAAAACTAAATAAATGTCAAAAAGTCACTAAAAGTCAAGAAACACTTTTATCTCCTAACCTCTGGATTCACAGGTCTCCTAAACAGAGATGAAATATTAGACAATAAAGAAATAAGAATTGTTTTTAAAAAATTACCTCAATTGGATTAAATTTAACACTATTTATACTGTCAAACCCCCAGGTCATGGAACATATAGGGTTGGTTCTCTGTTCATCCCAAATGTCCACTTGCTGTCCACAGGTGGCAAAAGCAGGATCTTTCCAGTGATGATCGATCCCTGTGTACACTGTCTGTAAAAGAAACAGGCTGTCACAGACTGGTTTCTCCGGTACCATAACTCTGCAGAACAGTATTTTCAATATATTTATCTAGACTCCGATTTTTATTTTATTTTTGAGGAAATCCCTACTCACAAAGAAACCTCTCTAAAGCCTTTCCTTTAAAGGAGAAAGAAATATCAAAATGAGTTAAGACATTTTATAAGAATGAGAAACAAACCTCATTTTAAGAATTACTCATTTGCTTACCCTTGGGAATTATCTTCACCCCAGTTACACCCCACTCCTATGTTTCTTTAAGACTTTTTAGCACTACTTGATGCCTGAAGCAGCACCTAAGTATATACTAACCATAATACTGAAACAAAGTGATTTTTAATATGCACATACAGATTAAATCTAATTTTAGAATTTTGTCTGCTTAATGTGAAAAATGTAACATTATCAAACATGGGTAGGCCAAATATTTTAAATTGTACTTAAGCTATAACCACACCATACCTGAGCTGCAGAAAAAATGTTAAGAACATAAGTAAGATCTACACAAGAAACATCTATTAGTACATTTCATCATTTTCTAAAGTAAAAAATTCTGAGCTTCCTGTAAGATCTATGATTATACGAACCAGAAATGGAAGCATATTTCTCCTAACCTCCGCACTGTAGATTTTCCTCACGGCCTTCCTATAAGAAATGTTTCATTGCAACCTCTAGCTAAAAATGGAACTCAAGCCCTCTCCATTGAATGCTAAAGATTGGGCTCAAACTCTTTAGCTGTGAAAGACCTTACATGCACTAAATGTTGCTTAAAACAGGTCCATTCTTGCAGAATAAAGAGTCTCATTTCTTATTTACATGCTTTTTTCCTTTCTGGAAATTGTAACTATGAATTAACATAAAAAGAAAATAACTTGAGTAGGCAGCGTCTGAGCCAGTTCACGCTGTACCTTTCCTAATATTGTGTGCAGCGGCTCCTCCTCCTCTCCATATCCCGGTGCATCCATCTTCCACTGTTTCACGGTTTTGTCATCACCAACCTGGACAGTTATGGTGATGATGACAGACATCAGTTATGAATGAAAACTTGCCAACTATTTGATTTAAAAGATAATGCATGCCATATCCTTCCACTATGATATTTACTGATACATTTATACCCCATCTTGTTATGGCAAAGACTTGTGACAAGTGCATAAAGTATACAGAATTAAAAATAAAATCGTACAAGTAGAGCAAAGGAAGAACAAGAATAGGGGCACAGTTAGGTCGTAAATAATGCAACAAATGCATATAGTGATAAGGACGACATTGCAAATGTGGGAGACAAATTCATTATAATAAAATGATACTAGAATATCCAGTTAGTCATTTAAAAAGCCCGATATTTTACATTATAATAAAACTCCAGGTAGTTTCAAATGTAAAAGATGAAAGACATGAAAATACAAGATAAGACATTTTTATAATCTTGGGGTAAACACAGCTCTTCTCTGCATGGCACAAGACTCCGGAGTCCCCTGTAGGGCCCTGAGAACTCTGGGGGCCCACAAGGTCAAAAACCTCACAGAGTTAACCTCACAGAGTTAATAAAGACAGCTGCACAGATAGTAGGAACTGTTGGCACCTCCAGGTCGCCAACTGTTGGCAAATCAAGGTGAGACAACAACCTATGGTATTTAGACATCAGTACTGGGTATTTGGTAGACACGTTTGTGAGCACATAAAGTAAGAATGTAAAAAGGTGTAGAACATAACGTGGCTTGGGGTTAACAAGTTGAGTATCCCTTAGCCAAAATGCTTGGGACTACAAGTGTTTCAGATTTTGGAATATTTACATAAACCTAATGAAGTATTTTGGAGATGAGACTCAAGTCTAACCATCAAATTCATTTGTTTCTTTTTTTTTTTTCCAGTACCAGGAACCGAACTCACGACCTTGCGCTTGCCAGGCAGGCGCTGTGCCGCTGAGCTAAATCCCCAGCTCCTCATTTGTTTCATATACAACTGACATACAAATCCTGAAGGTAACTTTATATGAAATTTTTAATAATTTTGTACATGAAACAGTTCCATGGTATGAAACTTTTCACTTTGGATATCATGCCAGTACTCAGAAAGTAAGAAGAAAAGAAAGCTGGGCATGGTGATGCACACCTGTAATCCCAGCACTTAGGAGGCTGAAGCAGGAGGATTATTGCAAGTTCAAGACCAGCCTGGGCTACAAAGTGAGCTCAAGGTCAACACGAACTTCATAGTGAGACCCTGTCTCAAAAAGACAAAAAAAAAAAAAGAAGACAAGAAAAAGAAAATTTCATATATTAGAGCCTTTTTGATTACTGATCTCAAACTACCAAACTATTAGCTTTAACTTGCAAGTTTACATTTCTAGATTATATAAACCTATACTGATTTTTAATAAAAATATAAAGATATAGTGTATTTCTCTATGAGAGGAATATGAATTTAGTTCCTTAGCAAATTCAAATGGGAAACATTTCTTACAAAACACTTCACAGTGTACATGAGAAAAGACTAAAAACCTGCTTACAGAGGTTCAAGTACTAGAAACGGATAGGAATTTCTTTTGTTGAGGATGCCAATGAGGAAAATCATTAACCTCTTTATAACAGACAAAAAATATCAGGTAGGAGGGCTATATTTAACTCTGAATCTAAGCTATTGACACTATACCAGAACTCAGTTTTGGAACTTAATTCTCCCACGACCCAGGAAGATATAATTTAGATACCCAGGGCTGGGCTGATCTGGCTTGACCCACTGGGATATGCTAGCTTTTACAGAAAACGACATAAACAGTGTCCTTGAACACTCTCTCCCTTAAGTCAGTTTCTCTTTGTCAAAGCTCTGCTAATGTCACTGCAGACTCAGACTGTAAATGATTAAGCTGCTCTCCGCTCTGTTCAGGACAAGCCTCAGCAGACCACCAACCCTGAGGGAAGTCTAACAACATTCTGTACAAACAAGAACATGTCATCTCCAGGCTGGGTATATCATTGGGGCTACCAACTGGGATAGCTCAGATACTGTGAAAATTAGGCAATAAAAGTTAATTTTTTGTGACATTGAATAAACTTTTTTTAAAACCTTAAGTGCCAAAATTATGCCAGTAAGTTTTTGTATGTCTTATCTATGACAAAACACTACTTACGTATCCTGAAAAGGGGGGAGAGATGAGTGAATATGAAACATATTCACTGGTTTTAGTAGTCACTTTTATTTTTTCAATTAACAAATCATTTATATTTGTACCATACATGTTTTGATAAACACACACACTGTGGAATTACTAAATCAAGGCAATTACATGTATTACCTCAAATTGTTTGTGATGACAGCATTTAAAACCTACTCTTTCAGCAATTTTCTATATAGTATGTTATTAACAATATTTACCTCAGTGCACAATAAATCTTAGCTTACTCAACCTATCTGAAATTCTGCGTCCTTTGGCCAACATCTTCCCAATCTTCCTCCCCTGAAGCTCCTGGAAACTACCCTCCTAACTCTTCTATGAGTTGAATTTTTCGGATTCCACACTGCACAGAAGTGAAATCATGTGGTGGGTTCATTCTGTGCCTGGCTTACTCCGTTTATGATAATATCCTCCAGATTCATCCATGCTGTTGCAAAAGACAGGATTTCCTTCTCTTTCAAGGCTAATGGTATTTCATTGTGTGTGCACACATTTTCTTTCTCCAATTCTCTGCTAACAGACATTTAAGCTGACTCTTTACCTTGGCTATTTGTAAATAATGCTTCAAACCAGCCTTTACTCCTTTTGAGGAGTAAAACAACATATAATTAGTACCCCACCTGGGGTATTAAGTCAGCATCTCCAGAATAACCAACTGGAAGAATGGAAAGTGTTAGCTGCTGTCCACTCTAACCTACCACCCCACCCCTCCTTCGACACATGCACAGTGTCATCCAGCCTGTCCACATCTGTAGGTTCCTCCACTCTCTGGCTCCTCCTGGAACCTCCTACTTCCCAGGGGTGGGCATTCTGCAACACAGCTTCCCTGACATCTATGTACTTCTGTATTTTCTCCTTCCTTCTTCCTACCGATGCCATGCCATGGATTCAACTGTGAGTTCTGCGCTGACGATGCCAAGGTTAGTTCTGGTTTCCCTCTTAGGCTCCTCACCTACCCTCTGAAGAGCAGAGACAACTTCACTCAAATGATCCGCTTCCACTTAGCTCACTACACTCATTCCCCTCTCAAACATACTCATACTCCTGACTTCCCCTGTTCTACAACAGCGACCACCCACTTCCTAGGCACCGCCCAGCTGTCAAGCCTGTGAGTCCTACAAAATGCCCCTCGTCTCACCATGGCTTGCCACTGTTTTTACTCCCAAGGTAGCTTCTTGCTTTTGCCTACTCAGATTACTAACCCAGTCTCCAAAATGATCACTTGCTGCTGTCAAATTAATCGTCTCATAGCACAGTCCCGCATCCACTGTTCCTATCACAAAAGCTACCTTGAACTGTGTTTGTGCACACACAGCAGTGTTTTCACAGTGGTCAAAAGGTGGGAACAAACCAAATGTCCCCTGCTGAATGAACAGATAAACAGGGTACCGCACATGCATGACTGGGAGTGTTAGTCAGCCTTTCAGAGGAGGAAATTCTAACACGTGCTACCACGTCTCTGGCCTTACTTCCCGTCAGTCTCACTTCAGTGCTCAGGGCACTATTACTTCGGTGACATTAAGTATGTATAAAGCTAGGTTTCACAAACAAAATTAGGGCTTCTCAAGGTGTAAGTTCTGCTCTGTGACATTTCAAAAGGGCAATGGAACAAACAACTTGAAAACAATTTATTCAATTAGATTATTCTTACACATGCTGAAAAGACTTAATGACAACAGCATAATACTTACGGTAAAAAAAGACGTCCCACAAAAGCGCGTACATATTCCTCGTACAAAACCCTCATGTGCTTGTATTGTACGGATACATTTTCGCTTAGTCAAATTCCAAATTCTAACCTATAATAAAGCATAATATAAATGTAAAACGTTCACATACAAGAGTACTAATTACATTTGAAGCAAAAGAAATTCCATACTGAAAAGGCTATGAATCACTCTACCAGGTAGCTAAAAACAAAATCCTTTGGGTTAAAATAATGCAACACGCCAGGCGTGGTGGTACACACCTGTAATCCCAGCACTAAGGAGGTTGAAGCAGGAGGACTGCCACAAGTTCTAGGCCAATATGGGCTATATAGTAAAAGTTCAACACCAGCCTGGACTACATAACGAGACCCTGTCTCAAAAAAAGGGTATGGATAAATATGTCAACAAACAGGAAATTCAATCTGTAAGTTTCTCTCAGATTCAGTTAAACTGTTTACTCCAGTTTAAAGTATTTCAACCAGACATGTTTCAACCACACCTATAATCTCAGCACTGGGGAGACTATGGGAGGAGGATCCTAAGTTAGAGGCCACCCAGTACATAGTGAGTTCAAGGCCAGCCTAAGCTACATAGTGAGACCTGTACCCCCACCCCCCAAAAAAGCATTTCAAAGCCTTTTTCCTTATCAGGGAAATTGAGTGTTGAATCATTAATAACACCCTGCAAAAAACTCACCTAAATACCTTTATTATAAATACAATTATTTTATTTACTGTCAAATTCAGCAATAAGCTACTACACTTGTAATTTCTTAAGGTTAGATAAAAAAACTAACTCCATTCTTTCAAACAGAATAACCTGAGATCAGAGTAAAACTAAAAACAAAAACAAAAAAAACCTGCAACATAAAATGCTTTAAAGTATTGTGTCAAGGTGAGGGTGACACTTGCCTCTCCATCACACGCCCCGGAAAGGACCGTGGCCAGGCTCTTGGGGTGCTTTGCGAGGCAGTTGACTCCATCTCGGTGCCCATCCAGGGAAGCAAGGAATGGCTTTGCAAATACACGCTCCAGCTTGGTGGCATTCAAAGCTCTTACATATTCTCGCGAGACCTCAAAAGGATGTAAGGTAGGATCATAGTTTCTTGGAACTGAAATAAGAATAATCTCTCTTAACAAAATAACTCACTTTTACTCTTTCCTGCAGATTTGTCATTCAGTCAGAGACAGTTTTATGCCTAGCACTATGAAGAACGCAGAAGTAGAAAATCATGGCATGCATACCCTTGCAAAATAATCTGACTAGAAACCCCCATACACAGCTTTTCCTTCGTGTGTTCTACTCACTCTTCCACTGAGTTGTAACCTCTAAAGGGCAGGACATCGACATTATTCATTTGCACTCTTCATGCCTAGCACAACGCCTGGCACAAAGCAAGGGCATAACAACTGTGGGCTTGACCGAACTCTAAGCTACTTGTGGAGCAGGCAACAACTGTTAGTCTCTGCTGCTAAACAATGTACGGATAGGTTCTCAATGTTGTGAATATGTTTATGGGCACTTGCCATGTTTGTTTTACTTCCTTAAAAAACACTGAGAATTTTCCAGGTTCCAGGAACTCTTCCAAACACCCCACACGAACTCCTTTAATCTCTGTAGTACCTTCTGGGTTACTATTACTATCTCCTACTTTATAGATGGGGAAACAGGCAAAAGAGGTTAAGTAAGCTGCATGGAGCCAGGATTCAAACCAATGCAGCTAGCTCCACAAGCCACATTCTTAACTGTTCTGCCAAACATGTCTGTTAACAGCAATGCTTAGGAAATAACCCTAAAGCCACATTAAAAAAAAAAAAATCAATGTATAAAAAAAGTATATGCATCTTCTTACCCCCAACTTCATCCTGCTATCTCTACTGTCTGACTCTTTATCAATGGTACCTTACGCCCAACATGCAATACAGTCCATTCCAGCCATTTTTATGAATTACATCTTCCATATTCCCCAATACATATAAATAAAAATTGTTTCTAAGATAAAAAAAAAAAAAAAAAAAAGACTGACATTGTAATTGTTTTTTCCGAACGAAATAGCCTAAACCGCCCAGGTTAAAGACTTGGTCTTTCACCATCGGGCTCCAACTTACCTCTTCAGCTTCGAGTCCCTTGGGAAGCTCAGCTCCAACCAAACAGGTTTACTTGCGTCCACGTTTGTCTGGCACTCTCCCACTCTTGAGTCCCTCTATATAACACCTCTCCCACCAAGAACTTATCCAACTTTCTTTCTACCCTATCGAAATCCTATGTACCCCTTAGGAATATTCAGTTCAAATCTTAAGTCTTCTACAGCTTTTTGAATCATGAGATCGTGTCTACCTGTAACTTCATACATCCAGCCAACAACACTCACTTAACCAAACTGAGGGAGCACCTGCTGCACACCACAAGCACCAAGGACATCACAGTGAGTACATCCATCGCACATACTTACTGCAGTCTTCTCGCACACACATCAAAACTACCACGGGAGCTTTAAAAACGTAAGATTCCCCGATGCTTACCCCAACTATATGAACAGCGTGTAAAATTTACAAGGAAATACCCCAGATGGCAGAATTTTTTAAAGAAAGTCTTCTTCTTTGTTTTACAGTGCTCCAACGCTTTTATTTTTCCATTTTGCTATCTACTGCAACTCCCACCCGAAAGTGTAAGATCAGAATCCTAAGATAAAGATTCTATGGCTACCTAGTCACCTACTCACCCATCCACCCATAAAGCTACGTTAGGCATGATTCTGCCCCTCTGTGCAAGCTCAGTCTCACAGGGAGACTGTCAGCCAAAATAACATTCACGACAGGATGTGATTAAGCACTCCGATGGAAGCATAAAACTACGTGAGCGGAGCACGGAAGAGAGGTGCCGGAGACCGCGGAGGCACAGTGCAGCGGCTAAGCATGGGAAGATGGTTATCTCCGTGCTCACCCAGGAGTAAGTTTCCCCGAGAAAGCGGCTAACCGGGCAAGCGCGTGTACCACGGGAACCTGAAACGCACTGCCACAAGCTGCTCGTGGGAAAAGCAGAGACTGGTGAAACCGGAGATGAGGAAGGGACCAGAGGCTCAACGCCCAGGGACGCTGTCACGTCCAAGTGACAAAGCAAGCCTACTCCTGCTTGTTACCCACCCTGCAAGGCTCTGGGGAGCGACACCACACACGCACGGCTCGACAAGGCTCCTTGTCGCCGCTCCCCGCTCATTTAGACTCCGCACACACTCCGGCCGCACGGCCTTCGCACCCCGCATCCCCTGGTCGCACGAACGGCAACTCCTAAACGGTGGGCTCGCTCGCGAGGAAAGACACTGGCAAGGGGAAGTGAAACTCGCCTCACCTGACCCATTCTCCGCTCACATTCTTAAGAGCTGTGCTCAAGGGAAAACTGAGGACTTGCAATTTCATCTGTTTCCTCCCACACTGAAAATCTGAAGTAGTTAAGCGAGCAAGCACCAGGAAAGAAAGCCGGGCCACAGAGCCCCTCGGCGCGCAGTTCGCCCGGGGAAAGAACCGCAAGGCTGGGGCGGGGCGCGAGCCTCGGCACCCGGACCCCGCGGGGGCCGAGGAGCACCCCGGGGCCCGCGGAAGGCGCCCCTTCCCGCCAACATGTCTCACCTCTCTGCAAGTCCAACTTGGTTTCGCGGACGTAGTTGTCCGGGTTCCGGCTCAGCATCTTCACCTTCATCTTGGCGGCGATACCCCAAAACACGAGTCACGCCTCCACGCCCCGCACCGCCGACTCCTCTCCCACATTCGACTTCCGCCTGTCGCATACGACTTCCTGTCACGTGACGCATGTCGGCTTGACTGGGCCCCTCGGCGCTCCGTAGCTCCGCCAGCGGGGCGGGCGGTCCTTGGGCCTCGCCGCCGCAGTGTGGCAAGGAGGGGCGGGGCACGGCCCGACGCGCGGTCCTGCCCCCTCTCCCCCGGTTGACCTGCGGCGAGCTCTTTCCCTTGGTTCCGGCCCCGGCCTCCGCGGAAGTGGCTCCCGCCGCGTCCTGCCCCGGGGCTGCAACCACCGCCACGGTGGCGGCCGCGGCGTCTCGCCCCGCCTCGGCGGCGCTGGGCGCCGTGGTGTCCGCGGGTTCTGAGCCCACGGCGGGCCAGGGTCAGGGCCAGGCGGCGCCCGGCGCGTCCGCGTGGAGCGCGCTGTTCCGCCACGTCCGCTACGAGAGTCTGGTGGCCGGCGTGAGCGGCGGCGTCCTGTCCAACCTGGCGCTGCACCCGCTGGACCTCGTGAAGATCCGCTTCGCCGGTGAGAGCTCGCGGGCCGCCCGGACCGGGACGCGCGGGGCAGGCCTGGCCCCCGAAACGCATGCGGGGTGGGGCGCCGGGGAAGGGGTGGCCGACGGGGGAAGGCAAGGGCTGTCGCCGTGGAGGACTCGGCGCGCACACGTGCGCATCTCGCCCCCGGAGGCCTTTGGCGCCCTAGCACAGCCACGTGCTGGGGCCGCCCAGCCCTGCGGGTGGCGGGACCGGTTGGGATGGGTTTCTCTCGACAGTTTCTGCAGCTTTTTCGCTCACAGTGTGTTGTATTGTGCTGTGAAGGGAAAAGTAGAATCTAAATACTGATTTTCTTTTCCTAAGTGTATGACGTGAATGTAGTATATTAAAGTTAGCAAAGCGCTTTAGAACTCAGACGCAACAGGACATTCTGGAAAAGATACTTTGCGAAATGATCTTTGGAAACTTTTCTGGCATTTCAGTTATTATTATAAGTTAAATTCTGCCTTGAGAAATAAATCTACAAAAATGATTTGTCAAGAGTGAAGTAATTCAGTTTACTTGATATATGTCTCTTGCTATTTGTAAACTGTTGTCTGGTCTGCAAAAGTACCTAACAGAAGTTCTTCTGCTTGGGGAGCTCATAATTTAATTGGAGGCTTGAGATGTAGCCATATAGAAGATAATTCTAGGCAACATAAAATCAAGGGCAGAGGCTGTGAATAAACTCAAATACAAAAATAGGAGTACAGATAGGAGTATCAGTATAATTATAGATTGCTGATGACCACTGACGGCTGTAAAGTTTTCATGGAAGATTAGATTCCCGAGTTTCCCATAGAATAATTAATATTCTGTCGCAGGAGTCAAGAAGCCAGTCTATGAGGGAGAATTTCTAGAAAAGGCATATAATTTCATGGAGCTTATGATGCATGTACAAATACTGTAATTATGATTATTGACAAGTAACTTTCATTGTTAAGTAGGAACAAGGCTCTCGATGTATTATCATTTACTGTACTGTGAATTTATTATCCCCTGTGTCTAAATAAGGTTAACAGGTGTTGATTAACTTGTAATGCAGAAGCTTGTAAAGGTGGAGCTGGGATTTGAATCCAGGCAGTCTAACTTTAGTTTAATTGCTGGGTTGGTGCTTGTAAGTTGCCTATGGTGAGTTGCTTTATTGCTAGTATTTAGAACCCTTAGGAAGTGACTATGTCTCAGAGGTGTCTTCCAGGTGTAGCTGGTTTTTGGGTTATGAGTTTGTTGCAAGATTCCATTTCTTCAGTGTATTAAGGAATGAGAAGTTGCTGCCTGCTTGCCCCAGCCCCTGGTTCTTTGGCCCTGGCCCACAGTATTTCCTGTGACCTTTAGGCAATCTCAGTCTTGGTATACCAGGATGAACAGCTGGTTAGAACAATCATGTCACTTTGGCTAAAGTGGTACGATCAGCAGTTACAATAGCACCAAGCACAGCCTAGAAAATGACAAACTGAGGTACTTGTTAATTTGCCACCTTTAACCATATCAACTAGATGTGTGGTTATATAACAAAATCCAAAACAAACCAGAAAATTGTGTGCAGTAAATAAGCCCTCAGTATGCCAATTTTACCCACAAGGGAAAAAATAAAAGGGGTTAGGGGAAAAAAATGGAGAAATAGAAGAAGACAAAGAGACTAGGAGCAAGGCTGGAGGATAAAGGGGGATCATGCAAACTTTGGGAAACTTGTGCAGAAGACAGGAGGGAAAGAGAGAAGGAGGAAACTGAAAAGAACAGAACAACCACAAAGAAACTAGAAACCATGCACACTCATGAAAACAAGATCAAACAATGGAGGAGAAAAAAAGTCCACTTTTAGGTTTGTCTCTGCTGTCATGGGTAGACAGCATGTGGAGACTGAGTCCAGATCTGTGTTGATTTATCCCAGTAAGCCAAGCAGTAGCTTTATGGCTGAGTAGCGCACAATCTCAGCAAGCCTGCACCTTTATTTCCCCTGAAGTTTAGGCTGATTTCTGGCCATGAGGCTGAGACCAGACCTGTTCAACCTGCAACTTTCAGCACACCTGCAGGTTTGAATTCAGCTGTGCTGGGAGCTGCTAGATGGGCCCAGCAGTTGTTCTGCGTTCTGAGCTCGATTGGCCCCTCTCCAGGATGGTTCCTGGCCAGTTGCCGTCTCCCATGAGATGTCCAGTCTCACAGCAATCAGCATTAGCCACTGAAGTCCTCCTTGTCCACTGCTCCCTTCCACTGCTGTGTCTTCCTGGAGGCCTTTGGTGTTGCCAGCAGTCACCTAGAGTGTCCGCAGGTTTCACCTGCTTCTCCCATGCTGTGAGTCCCAACTCAGGGAGAAGGCTGCACCAGCTGTCTCCTTTGTTGAAGTTGCTCTGCTCTCCCCATGGGCTTCAATTCTCACTTCAGATGCTTCCTGGGTCCAGGGCACCCACTTACCTTCTCCTCCTCCTTTTCCTCACGTTGCCACGCTCCAGTGACTGGACAGCAACTCTCAGGCTCTTTCTGTGCTGCTTACCACTCCGCCGTCTTCCAAGAAGTCTCTGGGCAGTCTTAACTTTAGACTCTTATCATTTCATTGCTCACCATACTACTTTTACTAATGTCAAGAGTGCAGTGGTTGGCTACAGATAAAAGGATTTTGGCCTTGGCTGCAGGTGTGGCCTGTGTGCCTTGATGTCTGTCTTCGGCAGCTGTGGGAGTCATCACTGAAGAACAGTGTGGATGCCTGGTGGGTTTAAGACAGTGCTGTGGGGCAGACTGTGTCTGAGGACAGGGAATGCTTGGTGCCTGAGTAGATTGGTTATCTCAATGCAGTAGGAAGTACTGTGTTGAGAAACTGCTAAGGTGACAGATAAAGGGTTGAGACTGACTAGAGGGCCTAGGTCTGGGACTCAAAGCAGGACATTGTAATACTGCAGCCCACGGTGTGACTGTGAAAAGAGAACAGCTTAGGAAGATGAAAAATGAAAGTACTATGCGGTTGGGTGGTCATCACATCAGTGCTGCATAACCACTGTGATGTCTATGCTTTCATGTAATTAAACCCATTTAATACAATTACTGTTTAGCAGCAGGCGGGTTAGTCTTGAGCATATGCTGCCGGTGATGCTGCAAGGGGTACAGGCGGGCGGGTTGGCGGGAGTCAGGTGATAAGCTGAGGCCTACCCTAACTTTGTGGTGTAATTTTAAGTGCTGGAGAATAAGAGACCCAACAAAGAAGAATGTGTGTTTTTATACTTATTTCCTAAAATAAGCCAAAAGCCTGATCTTTAAATTAAAGCTATGTGGGTTTGGGGGAAGAAGGTGGAGAAGAGAATATGACTAAGTCTATAATGTTAGTCAAGGAACCGAAATGTACAGCCAGTAACAGTGCAGTTTTATGTGGATGATATTGCAAGACCTAGTGGTGTAGCTCGAGAAATCCCTACATGTTTGGTTTTGTGGTGCTGGGAGTTGAATCTAGGACCTCATACATGCTAGGGGAGTGCTTTACCACTGATGTACACCAAGCTTTGCTTAACATATATTAACTCATTTAATCTTTTGTGACTTTTAGAGTTAAATTCTACTGTTTTTGCTACTTTATAGATGAGAACTCTAAGAGTATTCGATGTGATTTATTCAGGGTCACATGATAATTGTTGGGCCCAGAAAGTCTGATTCTATAGCATGTGCAGTTTGAAGCCATGAGTGATTAGTTTAGTGTAGCTAAACGGAGAATTAAAAAAACAAGTCTGGACAGTTGAAGATCAGCCACTGGAGCTTGAACCCAGGTCCTCACGCATGCTAGGCAAGCACTGTACACTGAATCACACTCCCCATCCCCAGAAGCTGCCAGATTTTGAGACCTCTTTTAGGCCATGTAAAAGCAGTGCTGAGGACTGAATGTTAGGAACGAGATTGGGACGAGAGGAGAAACACTCCCCAGGAGGCAGTGAAACTCCTTAGTGGCTGAGAGGCCACCCTTTTTGGGCACAAGAGTGCCTGTAAAAATAACATTGAAGGGTGCTCAGAGGAAAAGGAGGCAGGGAAATTGAGTGGCAAAGAGGAAAAGAGGAGGATTTGTGAAACACACCAAAAGAAGGGCACTTCAAAAGATAAACAATGTCAGCTGCCACTGAGATGACTCCCAGAGGGCCCTTGGAGAGTCTTAACGAGAGCCCTTGAGGATGTGAGGCCCAGGCCTGGCTGCAGTGCAGGTGAGAAAGTTGGATCTTCATTTTCTCATTTGCGGAAGCGTGACTGATAGCGAGGCACTGGGATCCAAGAGGAGACCCTGAGGAGAGGCTTAAGCCAGTGTCCATTCCCATGCTTGTGGGAAAGAGCTGGAAAAGAGTGAGAGGTTGAGGACAGACGGACACAGGAAGATGGGGAGGGAGGGTTCTAAGCGGAGTCCGAGGCGAGAGGTTGCAGAGCAGTGTCTCCCAGCAAATGGACCAGAGCCCTGCGCAGGCAGCAGATTTGACCTTTGCTATTTCTTCATACATGCGTTACTGAAAGACGCTTTCATGGCACAGTACTTGTTCTTAGTACTTGTGAGGTCATTTACATTTGTCTTCTATTCCAGTCTCTTTTAAAGGAAGAAATAATACTATCTGTCTGCTCAGTGGATTTTATTACCCATCTGTGGTTTTTGAAATGCATTACAGAGCACAGGGGAGGGGACTGTTTCATTAGTGAAAGGACACAAGTTCTTCATTGGTGGTGGGGGAAAGGGTGTAAAACTTGTGTCCAGCACCTCAGGCAAGTGTCTTGGGATGGTGGTGCCATCTTTTTTAAAGCCAGTTTGTTGTCTTTCCTGTTAGAATGCTCCTTCCCACACACAAAACTTGTTTCTCCTTGTTTGTGTCTTTTGACATCGTGTGCTGTCACAGACCTTTCCACAATGATGGGAAAGATACTGAGGTACGCGGACTAACTTCGCATGGGCAGATGTTTTTAGGACAGTTACAAAGCTTTTTGGACTTAAAGAAATCACTGTATTTTATCTTTATACCAATTTTAGCTTGACATTAAGGAAGCCCTAATTGGGGTCCTCTTCATTTCAATACATTTTTTTCCCAAGTGGGTTTTTCACGGTCAGGTTCTTTCTACTTTGGGACACCAAAGTTTCTTCTCTAAAACATATATTTGATTATTTTAGGCAATAGCCAGGTGTACTTTAATCTCATTTCATGCTGTGACGTGTGACAGGTTGATGATGAAAGAAGCTGAACTCCCTGCTTTGCCTGGCGGTGATGAGCAGTCAGCATTTCTTTGCCGAGCTCTGTCACACCCAGTCAAATAGAGGCCAGCAGGACAGGAGTTGAGCTGTGTGTGGCCATGGACAGCAATTTGTATAAATGTTCTGGAGGGCAATTTCAGTGTGTGTTTATAACTAAGTTTATATGCTTTGACCATATCAATTCCCTCCTCACAACTAATTCTAACAGAATATAATTTCCACAAATTGTCGTACAGATATTCTTTTAAATAACGTTTTATAACAAAATAAAACCAAATATCAAAGAAATTATTGTATACATGATAGGTTATCTGAGGTGAAAAAAACACATTTTTAAAAGTCTTGTTTTTGGAAGTTACTATATACCAAGGAGGAACAGCTTAGAAATGCTCTTGAGAAAAACAGTATATATATAAAAGAGAAAAACAGTATATATATAAAACTGTAATAGTTGTAATTTTAAATCTGTAGTATGACATTAGGTAGTAGTTACGTATGATAGAGAATAACGTCTGCTGCTGAGATACCTAGTACACCTAGGATTAAATACCTTCTCACAGCAATAAAGACATCATTGATACTGCACGGCTCCTTGTGGCTTCCCCGCAGCACGCTCACAGCTCTCTAAGTGGCCCTTTAACTGTCCCTCACACCCTGGACCCTCTGTCTCCGTTTCCCGCGAAACATGGAATGAAGCAGCATGCCAAATGTATGATCTAGAGTATGTGTTTACAACACCGTCACGAAGACCGCTGTTTAACATGCCACTGCGCTCGAAGGTTGACGGTATCATAGGCAGGGAGGGCACAGCGGTAAGCGGTCGAAGGGTCAGAGACGTGTAGAATGAAAAGGATGTGCCAAGCGGGGTAGGGAGAGAGGTGGGCTCGGGGGCGACCGTGTCTGCGTGAGCACCTGCGGAGATGGCGGGGACATGCTGGGAGCTGCCCAGAGCAGTAGAATGAGAGCAGCTTTGGGAGGGACGGGAAACTCGTTCGGCTTGAGGTACATCCAAGCGGAATACTTGCCTGTTCTCTAATCTGATTTGGGGCGTGTGTCCATCCCCGTCTGCGACCACCAGTCTGTGTCCCTGAGCACAGGCGCCGGTGAGGGGCCTAGGAAGGAAAAACATTCACCCCGTCCCCCGCATTTTCTTCCCAGTCACTCTGTAGGTCTCGCTAGCATTTTTGTTGTAATTTGGGATGCCTAGCTAGTTTAATTTTTGAATAATATATTTTGAAACTTGAGTCCTTGATCATATAAATAACAAAAATAAAATTTAAATGTTGAAATGTTTGCCTAAAAGACTTGGGTTACTTAAGAGCTGATCTAACACTTGCTAAAATATTATTTAAGTGCTTATATACCTGATTGTGTAACACCCGTGTTTGTACGTGATTCCGAGCTGGAACTTTGCTCTCGCCTAACTGTGTGTGTCTTCTAATACAGTGAGCGATGGATTGGAACTGAGGCCAAAATACAAAGGGATTCTCCACTGCGTGGCCACTATTTGGAAACTGGACGGACTGCGGGGACTTTATCAAGGAGTCACCCCAAACGTGTGGGGCGCAGGATTGTCCTGGGGACTCTACTTTCTCTTGTGAGTGGGCCTGGGGAATTTCACAGTATTAAATGAAAGTGAGCTCCCGTTCTGAGTGAGAAGAATGTTGAGTCATTTATTCAGTTTCTCTGAGTTGCAAGGGTCAGAGCAAATTGGTGTTTGGTTTCCTTCCCTGCCGGTGATCAGAGGCCTTCAGCCTGGAGACAGTCTGTACGAGGAGGAAGGTGAGGGGATAAGACAGAAAGTGCCTTTCAGAGCGGTTCCCAGGAGCTCTAACATTACTTTCCTAAGCTGCATTCTCACAGATGAGAAGGAAAACTTTTAGATAAGCTGTGTGGAAAGCAGCGGAACCCAGATAATTCGCAGTAGCCGTGGGCTCCTGCAGGGTTCCTGAGGGGTTTCGGCCCTTTCATTACTCTCAGCATTGCTGACAGCCAAAATAGACTAGAAAACATCACATGAGCCAGTTGGTCGCTCATCAGTAGTTTCCTGAAGTGCTGCCGTGGTAGAAAAACCTGAGACTACAGTGAGTCGTGTGGGCTTCGCTTCTCTTCGGTACCGCTTTTGTCTCCATCTGTAAGAGACTGACTCCGGCGCCCCAGCAGCATTTCCTGACCCTGGAGTACTGTGAGGTGGGGGCTCGTTCCCCCTCCCGGGGCACCCAGAGCTTCCGAGACGGCCTGGAGAAAGGCACCTGTCACGGGGAGGCGGGGGGCGGGGACAGTCTGGGGGTCCTCGTGGAAGCAGCTCGGGGCTGTGCTGGGGACGTGAGGCAGAGGCCAGGGTGTCGCCCGCAGACCCTCGGGCTTGCTGCGTTAAGCCTGCTGTGCCACCTCCCCACACCTTCCTCTGTCAGGTGCAGGGGCTGTAGTGACAGATCTGTCCTAAGTTTATGGCAGTGGCCAAGCCAGCCCTAAAGTAATGTTTAGGTGAAGGCAAAGTAAAATTGCGCCTTAGTATTGTCAACCATTTTTCTTACTTTCTCTCCTCAGACATGTAGAGGTGAATTGTGGAGGCCTGTCTCCCCACACGCACACTGTAGTGTTCGCAGTCTGAGACTGGAGAGTCTCTGAGTTCCCAAAGATAAGCCATAGCAATGGGAGGTGAGAATTTCTTGTGACGAAAGTCTCCTAGAGTGGTATTGGGAACATTTGACAAGAGTAGGCGTTACGAGCCTGTCCCGGCATGATGGTGCACACCTGTAAACCCAGCACCCAGGAGGCTGAGGCAGGAGCATCACAAGTTGGATGTTCCCTGTGTTGCTGTCAGTGTCTGCACCCCCTCCAGTGCTGCCTTCTACTTGAGCCTCTGTGGCCGCAGCCGCGGTTTTGGACTCTCTTAGGACACTGTTGTTTTCTGTCACGGCCATGTGTATGCCAGCAGTGGCCCTGTGAGGAAAGCTCTCCTGCAGTTACCTTCCACCTAGGAAGCGCAGAGAGCTGCCGAATGCAGGTGCGCAGTACGTATCTGTTAGGTGCCTCTTTGGCTCCTGTGCTTTCTCCCCAGCCTGCACCACCACACCCCGCGTCTTCTCCCAGGCTCCCGTTTCCTGAGTCGCCTGCTGCGTGCGGTGCTCTCATGTACGCAGGGCAAGGCGATGTCCTCTTACAGGACACCACCTGCAGCGCACCCGTTCTTCAGTAAGGGCTCGTGTTTTACTCGGACACACATCCCCTTTACTTTGCAGATTGTCACTGAGCTATGTACACTTTACAATGGGCTTTTCTTACACTTAATGACATTGTTCGTATTTAATTCTTCTAGTTACAATGCCATTAAGTCGTACAAGACAGAAGGAAGATCTGAACGGTTAGAGGCCACGGAATACCTCATCTCCGCTGCTGAAGCTGGTAAGGCAACGTGTGAACCATGTCACCTTACAAACTTGATTTCCATTTTTACATTTTTCAGCACCACACCTTAAGTGTGCTTATCTGTCTATATTAATTAGTGATCACAGGAAATATCTTAGAAAGCAGATATTCTTATTGATCACTCTGGATAGGTTTCAGAAATTTTATCCACCCCAGCATTTTGGGAGACTGAAAGAGGACCAAAAGCTTGAGCTTAGTGAGACCTCAACATAATAAAAAATAATAAAGAGGACTGGGGGTGTAGCTCAGGGAAAAGGTTCCACCCCTATTACCACAAAAGGGGCAGTGGGAAATTTAGAAACATTTTGAAGCCCTAATAGGTGAAGATGGTTTGCCATAGTGTTTTCACGCTGTCCAGTACAGTGATCTTGTCTCATTGCTGTATGTGTGCATGTTTTTCCCTCTGGGAAAAACAAAGTACGGCCCATAAATTCTTACAAATCCTCGGATATTTTGGTCTCATTTTTCATTCCTAGGTGCTACCAGAGACCTGAGTCAGAGCAAGGCTCAGTAAATACTTGTTGAATAAATACCTCCTTAGGAAACTCAGGAAAGACAAAACTTAACCGGTTGAGATTTTTTTTTAAAGAAAACAAAATAACAATGATAAAAATAAAACAACACAAACGATAAAAGCTATACAGAATTTAAAACAAGATGATAGAAAATTAACAATAGCTGTTATATTACATATTGTTATCTTCAACAAAGTTGCTCACATTACCAGATGTAAGAATGTAAGATTGATCAGACCATTAAAGAGAATTAAGAGCCGGGCGTGGCGGCACACGCCTGTAATCCCAGCACGCGGGAGGCTGAGGCAGGAAGATCATTGCACCAGCCTGGACTACAAAGTGAGCTCAAGGCCAGCCTGAACTGCATAATGAGGCCCTGTCTCAAAAAAAGACAAAAAATAAAATAAAATGAAAAAAAGAGAAATAAAAATAATAAAAAATTAGAAACGATACAGTTTCATTAATCAAGATGGTAGGAATTCACCAATGGTTGTTACGTTGCATATTGTTGTCTTTAAATTTTTGTTCAGGTTACCAGGTGTAAGCATGCAAAATTGGTCAAAAAAAAAATTTAAGCGTTATCTGTTCCTTTCAATAAACCAATAGGCATCAGCAGTGCAGTTATCCCAGCTATCCTTCTATGTCCATATATATTTACCTTCTTTTCTCCTTTTCCTCATCCCAGTTGTGGTATTTTCATATAGTGAAGTATTACTCAGCTAGAAAAAAAGATAAACTTGAGGCTTTCATAGGTGAATGGATGTGACTAGAGACCATACTCGTAAGTGAAATAAATCAGACCCACATGTGTAAACATCATACTGTCTCCCTGGTGTAGGAACCTGAAAGAGTGAATAAAACCCAAAAGGTACACTCGACACTGTGAAAGGGAAAGACATTGCTGAAAGGGAGAATTTTTTTTTTTTATAAAGGCGTCACTTTCTGTGAAGTATGTAAAGTGTGATTTCCTGCATTGCCTAGTTAATTTGTGAGGTTTATGGCCAGTTGGAACGGTGTCCAGGGAGACGTGTGCGTGCACATGCACAGATCCAGAGCTGCTGTTCATTCCCTCCCCAAGTCGTCACACTGCCTCCTGTGCTGTACCGTGTCTGCCACCCTTTCTCTGCGGCAGGCCGCCTGATTAGGAGCCAGGCAGCTCTGCTGTCCCGGACCTCAGAGGGCCAGGGTCCTGCGCTTCCAGCTGCAAGTCCCACACCCACAGGAGATGGTTGTGACCTCCAAAACTGTGCCCGCTCGAGTCTGTCCCTCGGAGCCCACACCTGAGCTCCGGACGCAGCGGTTGTGTGCCCTCCTGGTTTGTGTAATGGACTCTCCTGATTGGGGTTGAGTGACCAGATCCCTGTATGCTGAGTAGTCTTGTTTCAATCTGATTTTAGGAGCCATGACCCTCTGCATTACCAACCCTCTGTGGGTAACAAAAACGCGCCTGATGCTACAGTATGATGGTGTCAAGTCGACACAGCGACAGTATAAAGGAATGTTTGATACACTTGTGAAAATATATAAGCATGAAGGTGTGCGTGGATTGTATAAGGTAATGAGTTATCGTATGTTTTTGACAGCTGAAAATTGGAGTTCTGTTGGCGCTCTTGTCTTACTCCCAGTCCTTAAAAAATGCCAAACATAGGCAAGACACAATTTAATGAAAACAGAAGTCTAATTTGTAATGTTGGAATTTCACCTTGAGGTGTTCGTTCCCGTTGCCATACCTGTGTCTAATGACCCTAACAGGAGCGCTGTCTGAAACCTTGCCAGATACCTTTGCAGTAAGTCAGGCAGAGAGACCAGTGAGTCTTAACAGGATCTTACTGCAGATTTTACTCATCTCAAATTCCCTAAATAATACTAACAAAACCCCCAGCTTCTTGCTATTGTAGTAGTTTTGAAATTTCTTCCTAGTGGCAGTAAGATCTGTTCTGTGCTGTATAACTCCTTTTCTCTCCCCGTTTCCCCACTTTTCTACCTTCCACTCCTACCTCATGCTTATCCCACAGTTTGTGATGAAAATAAGACTCATCGAAGTTTTGTGCGTTTTCAACTAACATGCAATAGCTTTTAAAGTCAGTGAGCTTGGTGATATGCCTTACTGACCTAGGGGCCAAATTATAGAAATTAATCGCTGTTTTGTGTTTCTTCCGTCATTTGTCTTACTCTTCTGGAGTATCTGCTCAGTGCATTGAATTGTCATTACTTGTGCTTTATTTTCTAGAACTTAACCTCGTACCCCAGTTCCTGACAGTGTAGGTCATCTTTGTATGTGAACTATTGAAAGGAAAACTAACGTAGGAAAGTGTAAACTTTAACTTAGAAAATGAAGAGTACTACTTTTAGCCTCATATAAAAAACATAATTTATACAAAACTTAAGTGAAATTTTTTAAGTGCTATTCTAAGAAGAGAGAAAATATTTTACTTCTACCTCCCCTTGAAAACAGTTTGCCTTTGCTTTATTCTGATGGTTCCCTTAGGGCTTTGTGCCTGGGCTGTTTGGAACGTCTCACGGGGCTCTTCAGTTCATGGCGTATGAGTTGTTAAAGCTGAAGTACAATCAGCACCTGGAGCGGCCGCCGGAAGCCCAGTTGGTAAGAGGCTCTTGGAGGACGACGTAATGAGGGTGCTGCCATGCATGTGCTAATAATGCTGCTGTCCTAATGATCCTAGCAATTTGTATTTAACTATTTTATAAGCTGATAGCACACAGGTGTTAAAACAGAACCCCGTAATCACACAAAACTTGCATTAAAAAGAGAAAATACTGTTTTTCATTTAACAGTCCCCTTACATGTATTTTTCCGTATGATTTTTATGCTTATGTTGTAAAGAAACACTGTCTACAGAAAACCATGTTTTTGTTGTCGCTTTAGAGCACAGCCGAATACATATCTGTTGCGGCGCTTTCCAAAATATTTGCAGTGGCAGCCACGTACCCGTACCAGGTGGTCAGGGCCCGTCTCCAGGATCAGCACATGTCCTACAGTGGGGTGCTGGATGTGATCGCCAGGACGTGGAGGTGAGCGTGCTGGGCCAGGGTGCTCTGCGGAGGTGCCTGGCGCCCTGCCCCTTGTCCACGCACCGTGCATTGTGCAGCGGAGGCCAGTTTGATGTGCAGAATCATGGCCGGTGGTCTCTGCTTCCTATTTCACCTCCCCAAGGCTTGATTTCTTCATTTGTAAAATTAGACCATGGACTGTCACGGTTGTTGTGAAAATAATTAAAGCCGAGCATGATGGCATGGGCCTATGATCCCTGTTATACTCAGGAGAGGAGAAAAGGAAGGAAGATGACAAGTTAGAGGCTGGCCTGGGCAATTTAATGTGACCTCATACCAAAAAATACATAAAATGAGACGTGTGAAAGTGCTCTGAGCCGGCATGACAAGTTTCTAGGCCCTGTCCCCTGTTGTAGGCCAGTGGTGGTGAGCCTACAGCGCATGTGCTGCAGCAGGCTGGTTATATCATGGAAAGCTCTGAAAGGTTCACCATCACTGTTCGGGGCACTAAAGGTGATGTCTTTCCACGCACGCTGTGCTAGTGTTGTGTAGCACTTACACAAGCTGTGAGCTTTTTAATGCCCATGTGAGATCAGCTGAAACTCCTCTTGCGTGTTTATTCGTTTAAAGGCATTGAAAGCTGATGAATTTAAAACACTTGCCAGTTTATTTTTGAGCCGCCCCCACCTTTTTCCTTGGCTCATGGAAGAAATGTAGACTCCCGCAGATGGCTTAGAAACTACATCCCTGCAGTGCAGTGGAGCATAAGGTCTGCTGCAGGTCTCTCTTACTCCGTGCCTGTGTCAGGTAACATCTGGCTTGCTGTTTAAGAAATTAAGCATGTACCTATTTTTCCCTCTAAAGGAAAGAAGGCATCAGTGGATTTTACAAAGGAATTGCTCCCAACTTGATCAGAGTGACTCCAGCCTGCTGTATTACCTTCGTGGTCTATGAAAATGTTTCACATTTCCTACTTGACCTTCGAGAAAAGAAAGTGAGCTAAAAGAAGATAATTCCAGTACCTCTGCCCAGGGCGGCAACAAGCTCCTTCAAGACATAAAACTCAGACGAACGCTGCACAGCACCACAAGACGTAATCAGAATTGGCCTGTGGTGTTAGAAGTCAAGGACTGCCAGGCCTTGCAGCGTTCCTCGTTCGCCTTCGCCACCTGTGTGGCACTTGGCTGCTTCTGCTGTGACGGCTGCCCTCATATGATGCTAAAACCAGCAGCAAGTCCGTTTCTCCTTCATCATTCAAGCAGAAACTGATTTGCAACCTTTGTAAGCAGTTTAGAGGAATCTGCTGCTTTTTCTGATCTCATTGCCTGGGTTGAATTTAAAATTGACCTTTGTGCAGTAGCAAGCAAATGGCTTTTCGGGAGAGTGCCAGTGCCCCCAGGGTAATGACCTGTGGGGGAAGGTGTCACCCGGACCAGTTGGGTGAGCAGTGCACGTAAATGCACTCATGCAGACGCCTGAGAAGTTACGCGCTGCTTGGAGAAACGCCTCATAGCTGTTGTCATTCCATTGCTGACTCCTTTTCAGAGGCACTTCCATAATTTAAAACGTGATCCTGATTCACTTTTTGGCATAAGTACTTAATGTTTAAATTTATAAAATCTGAACTTTTTAGATTTAGCAATGTCAGCCTTTATTTAGCATACATAGCTACAAATCACTTAACAGGGGCTGGGAATTTAGCTCAGCGGCACAGCGCCTGCCTGGCAAGCGCAACGTCGTGAGTTCGATTCCTGGTACCGGAAAACAAAAACAAAAACAAAACAGAAATGCTGAGTAGTAGATCCGTCGGCTTCTACAGATGCTGGAATGTTTGAAATGTGTTTGTTAACTGAATGGAAATGAGAAACTTCTTTAATTTTTGGGTTTAAGGATTCAGATCCCAAATAAATGATTAATTTGCACTAGCTGTTCAAATTCAAGTTGAAATTCAAATTACATTAGTGGGATTATTGATTTCGCTTAAATAAGTCATTATAGATGTTTATAAACACAAAGGCCTTGCCTAAAAGTAAGCTGAATGTGGTGGTAACATGCCTATAATCACAGCACTCTGGAAAGCTGAGGCAGGGGGATTTCAAATTCAAGCCTAACTCAGGAAAACTTAGACATTGTCTCAAAAAAGGACTGGGGTTGTAGGTCAGTGGGAGGGCCGAGTTCACACCCTAGAACCACACCCAAAAAGGCAGAGTAATACTGGTGTTACTTTATTTATCATAAACATCTGTGAGCACTGTTGCGTTTTGTTTGTTGTAAATAAAACATTGGAGTTTTCAGAATCTTTTTAAAATGGCTTTTTGAAAACAGGTCTATTTTTTATGCATTGGAAATGGAATCATTTTTAAAATAAAGATGAAATAATAAGTACCCAATTGTATTTAATAGCTTGTAACATGAAAAGGAATATTTTGTAAGTTAAGTAAGTCACATTTCCCTGAAAATAACTATTTCCCCAAACATAAGCGCAGGTCATAATTTTTTGCTGCAAAAGATGCAGTAGGGCTTATTTTCAGGAGGTATCTTATTTTTTCATGTAAAATTCTATATTTATTCACGTACCATAATCTGCATGTCTTCAGATACTGTCATGTCTTCTGTAACATCGTCCCAGCTTTTCAAACCTAGAATTCCGGCATGAATTGCTTGGGACTCCACTTCCCAAGAAACATTGGCCCCCGTCTCTATGGGTGGCAATAGAGCACTCCATACACAAGTGCCTCTTGTTCATATAGCCCACTCATGTTTCAGCGATACACACATACTGAATTATGAAGATTCGAAGCAGACACATCCGCATCCACTCTATCAAGTGTGCACATTGTTCACTTATTGTGTCAGGAGTTAACCTGGCGTGGAGTCGGGGACCAGAGAGAGCCAGCTTGGCTCGAGTGTAGCTCTCATTTTTGGCTTGACCTAAGGCAAGTGACTGAAGGAGAAGGTGGGGCGGGCAGGCCCATAGCCCTGCAGAGCCCTCCGCAGAAGGACCTGCGCAGTGCAGAGGAGAGGGTGGCCGGCGGCCTCCCAAGTGGGTGCCCAAGGGCTCCTGGCTGGAGAAGGCGGAAGGCTTCCTAATACTGATTCTCCGGCAGCTCATTTCCCTAGATGTGGTTGGAAGTCCTGGTTATCCTTAGCCCTCAAATCTTTTCTGTCATTCCTGGGGTCTTGACTTAAACTGTACCATTGCAGTAGTCGTCGTGTGTGCATGTGTTTGTCATACATGTACCATAAATTGGTTTTGCCGTTGAAATTACACAGTTCAGTAGCAGTTAGTGCATACCCAGTGTCCGCATATATTCAAATGCACAAGTTCATAATATACCAAAATAACTGCTACCCAGTAGCAGTTAGTGCATACCCAGAGATTATACCTCTGCATACCTGAGATACTTCCACCGCACCAAAAAGAAAATCTCTACATACTGACCAGTCGACCCCCTTGCCTCCCTCGCCCATCGCAAATGCTGATCTGCTACCTGAGCCTTTTGTGTGTGGCTTTCACCTGGGATAATGTTTCAGGTCCATCATATGCAGCTATCAGCACTTTATTCTTTTTGCTGCTAAATGATACTCCTTTATATCCATACACCACATTTTATTTTTCCAGCTGATGAACACATGGGTTGTTTCAACCTCCTGGCTATTGTGACTAGTGCTATGAATGTTTGTGTTTTAGTTAATGTATTCCTGTTTTCAGTTCTTTTGGATATGTGTCTAGGAGGAGAAATGCTAGGTCATATGGTAATTACACATCCTCTTTCCATAATGGTTGTACCATTTCATATTCCCACTAGCAATTTATGAGAATTCTAGTTTCTCCAAATCTTTGCCAACACTTTCATTTTCTTTCTGTAGCCATCTTAGTAACTTGCATTTCCCTAATGACGAATGGTGCCAAGCATCTTTTTAAGATGTCTGTCTTTCTCTTTTCTTGCAGTATATTTTTTGAAGAAACTGTCTTTTCAATTTCTCAGAGTCCAGGTTTTGCTTATTATAAACATGTTCTTTTATCCTATTTGCCGCAAACGAATAGATCTGGAAGCTAAATCACATTTAGGCTGGATTGTTTCCTGGGAAAACTACCTCTTGGGTAGCGGTGTGTGTTTTTATTAAGAGACTGTGTTTTTTCTGTTTTCAGAGTTTATCAGTCATTGATGAACATTGCTAGACTGCTTAATTCATAAAGGGTTGAGAAGGGGATGGTCTGATGTTACTGCTCTTCCTTCATTCATTAGCTATACAGTAAGTCCCCGACCAACATTCAAGTTGTGAACTTTCACAAATCCAAATGGACCTTGCTTTACGAACCTTTGTAGATGCGAACAAACCGCACAGTAGCCTGGGTCTGCCGGACGCTGTCACCGCGCGCTGCTGGGCACTCACTGCACGGCGCCATCGTGCACAGCAGTACCGCGCTCAGTCAGAGCCCAGGACGTCCGGAAGTGAGAGGAAGAGCCGTGGTGATGTGGAGGGGCTGCTGGGAAGTGCAGAGCAATAACCATGGAAACAAAAGTGAAAACTTTATTTATAGTTACTGCACTGTACCCTACCATCACTTAAAGGTAACCGTAAAAGTGAAAAGTTTATTTACAGTATTTTTGAGTGGGTACTTTTTTCTTAATGCGTTGCATTGTATGTTTATGTCAAAGGTGTGTAAGACTCACTTTTTCCAACTTACAAACAAATCAGACTTCCAAACGTTCTCCTAGGATGGAACTCATTCCTTTCTTTTTGAGACAGGGTCTCTGCAGTTCAGGCTGGCCTTGAACTTACTATGTAGCTGAGGCTGGTCTCAAACTCACAGCAGTCCTGCTTCACCCTCCTGGGATTACAGGTGTGCGCCACCACTCCCAGCACTGGAACTCATTCTTAAGTCAGGGATTTACTGTATTAGTACATGATATTACTATAAGATGCATAATACTGTGTATACATACTTTTATAAAGAGAAATTCGAAGCCATGTATGGTGACACACCTGTAATCCCAGCACTTGGGAGGCTGAAGCAAGACCATCACTGAGTTTGAGACCAGCCTGGACTACATAGTGAGTTCAAGGCCAGGGATACATATTGAGGCCCTGTCTCAGTTAGATGGATGGATAGAGAGATGGATAGATGATAGATAGATAGATAGATAGATAGATAGATAGATAGATAGATAGATAGATGATAGATAAATTTTCCCTTCATCAATTTGGTTACCTAGAGATGCAGTTCATATAAAAAAGGCAGACTACATAATGCTTCTGTTTACCAATTTTGAAAGTGTAAGTTGGTTTGCTGTCATTCTGTGGATTTTATTTTGGTATATTATGAACTTGTGCATTTGAATATATGTGGAATGTCTCGAGCCATCACAGTTATCTTTATTGATGCTTAATCATGTTGCCTTTGCCAGTGGAGCCAATTCAAGCTGGCCCCTTAGCACCTTTTGAGTTATCTCTCATGGTTGCCTCATTTTCCAGAATAACAGGTGTCCCAGGCTCCTATTATACATTTCCTGCCCCAGAGCTAAAATCACTGTTAGGGTTTGGATGTAAATGTCCCCTAAAGGACATTCAGTTGCTTGGCTTTTTAGAAGGTGACTGACTGTATCATGGATCTAGTGGATTAATAGGTCAGTTTATCAGTAGATTAATTTGTTGATGGCTTCATAATCTGATGGCATTATTGGGAGGTGTTGGAAACTTAGGCAGTGAGGCCTGTGTGGAGGAAGTAGGTCCTGGGGGCCTGGGTTACCTTGGGAGCTGTAAGTTGACACCAGGTGCTTCCCCTCTGGCTCCTGTCTGCTGCAAGGCAAGTCTCTGTTTTCACCATGGTATTCTGCTAACCACAGTGATGCCCAGGAGCAACAGAGCCAATGGGCCATGAACTGAAATCTCTGCAACTGTGAGCCCAGGAAAACCTTTCCTAAGTTACATGGAGTCTCAGGTCTTTTGTCATAGCTACAAATAGCTGACTAACACAGCTACTCAGGTGTCAGGAAGTCCTTACCTCCTTTTAGTGGGAAAGAGTTTGCAGAGATCACAATCAGCTTCACGGGATTAGTCACTGTTCCTGGGCCTTGTCTGTAAACAAAGCCAGGCATCTTTGTCCTTACTGTTTTCCAGCTCGGTTTGAGATAAAGCCCTTCATGAGCTCATGCTGGATCCCAGGATCTGCTTAACTCCCTCAATCTGCACCTGTCCAGGCTGCAGGAATTCTTTCTGATCATCTCAGCCAGAGTGATCGTCCTTCCTTTGATCTCCTTAACATTTTTTATTTTTATATATGTCTGATCCTTTCTGCTAAATAAGCAGTTTCAGGCCCAACTCCACATTTTTTTTTACTCTTTGTTAATGAAGATAAAATTCTTAAAGTCCTCATATATTTCCTGAGACCTAGCCACCTTTTTTCTTTATGTCCCTCACAATACAGAACCAAAAAAAGATACAGAGCCACACTGTACATGTACTAAAAGTTCATATATCGATTGTTAAAAGGAATAAATACAAAATTAGATTTATACTGAACCTTTCAGATATGAAGTACTAGCAGCTCCAATTTTAGTAGCAAGCAGGTTAAGATATTAAAGGTGTTTGAAATATGTTTTATTTAACAGGTGTAAAACAACTGTAAACATTCACAACTTGTACAAAGACCGGTAACTTTTATATTTTTAAAACTGCTACATTAAGTAAACAGGAAAAACTAAGCACCACACAAAATCCCAAACTGGAGGTGTTCAGGGAATGAGAACATGAAAAAGCTCTTCTAATCGACTAAAACCCTGACGCCAGTTTTGACTGAAATAAAATGGGTAGTAGAAGTAAAAGCAGTGTGAGATCACACTTTGGTCTGTAAACATGGCTAGCCTTGTTTTTCATTTAGACGTATATGTAAAATACTTTTTAAATGCTAGAGGAACCATAATTAAAAAAGGAGGTAGGGAGTGAAAAGCGAAAGGATTTATTTGGGTAGTTCTTCGATAATGATGCGGGACACTGAGTTCCACCCTGTAGAAGCGTCTCCTTTGGGGTAATCGGAGCAGGTCCCAACCCAGATGGCGACATCCACGAGGCCGGCGCCGATCCCCTCACAGAGGCCTTCCACTGCAAGACACAGCACAGTTTCCTTAGAACGAAGAGCAAAGCTATTCACTGCACTGACTTTCGAAAGCTAGCGGACAATTCTGTCTATTGTAAAGCTAATTAAAAACTCTAATACATGATAAAAGTTTCATTATAAAGTTCTTGTCCTTAGTGGGTGTGTATATTTTAAAAGGTGCTGGCAACTTTTCAAAGATGCTATTCTATGAGGTAAGTTTAACAGGCAGTTTTCTTACAGGTTTCAACCGTAAAACTATAATTTGTTTAGTTAAAGAGATCACCTAAAACCAAAAAGCAGTTTATTTGACTACACAAAGAAAGCCTACACTTTTAAAAGCCAAGACTATCCAACTTAGTGAGAGGCCTGACCTGAGAGACGCAAGGCTTTTTCATACAAGGCTCTTCCTACCACTTATCTGTGTGCTTGATGCTACTCACACAGAAGGATGGTTATGATTAGCTCGAAGAGATTCTAGCATAATCATTATACCAGCTCTTCAATCTGGGACTCACATTTTACATAGAATTTCCTCCTAGTAAAACAAAACAAAACGAAACAAACAAAAAAAAACCACTGCTTTTTTCCTTTGTTCTGATGCTTTATAATTATGCTTCTTTTCACACACCCTCTAGATTTTTACCTACTAACATGCAACCTGCGTTCATTTAATCTAGGGTCTTCACCCACACCTAAAACTCATGATCAGTATAATAGGCTATGCTGCCTGTGATGTCTAGGGGGTCAGGGGGACTGTAGGTTGGCAGAGTCTTTAAGAAAATGAGGGGCTGGGGATTTAGCTCAGCGGCACGGCGCCTGCCCGGCAAGCGCAAGGTTGTGAGTTTGATTCCCAGTACCGGAAAAAAAAAAAAAAAGAATCCTGGCACAGAGGTAGTGTGGTGACTGGTTTGACTTCCTGTTTGGTTGAGTTCGGTTCATCCCAGCTGTTATGGTTTGTGTCTAGATGCCCCCCAAAGCCTCATGCGGTCACAGGGCTTTTTCACAGGTGGCTGGATCTAGAGTGTGTGATACTTGGATTAAGGGTGGGTGACTACTACATCAGTCCGCTAATTGGTTTGGCACCACCCTAATCCCGTAGTCTGGATAAGATAAAAGGACAGAAAGAGTCTTGTTCTCCCCCTTGTTACTTTTGTCTTCTGCCACCATGAACAGCTGCCCCTCTACCATAAGCCCCTCTGCCTTGGAGCCAGCCAATTATGGACTGGAACCTCTATACACTGTGACCTAAATACACCTTTTCCCCTCTGAGCTTTAGGTATTTTCTCTCAGCAGCAAGAGAAAAGTAACTAAGACACCAGTGGAGGCTCTGAGATGGAGTTCTGAAGCAACAGACTTCCAATAGTTGTCCCATCAGTGAGTCTCGGGCTGTCCATCAGTATCCTGGGCCTGGCTGTGGCTTAGGCCTCTCACAATGTTGGACGAACTAGGCAGTGGGCCCATGACCTCATCTAACCTCAGTGCTCTGTCTAGTGAATACGCCCAGCAATGCTCACGCTCCCCGAGACCTTGCCATCCATGGCCTGGAAACTTTCATTTATCACCCCAAGCCGCTCGCGTCAGACAAGCTTGGGTCCAGCGTCTGCCCCACATGCAAAGAGTCAAATGGTCACCTCATGATCATTAACAAACTAAATGTTTGTTGAATGATGGAAAACATTAAATATTTTGCTGTGATAACATAGTGTAGCAGCTTGCTAAGCGGCTAAAATATGCAGGATTTAGAGTTCTCGACCGGATCTCCTCCTAGACACAGGTACCAGATGACATTCAAAGATCTGTCAAACCTGGGCACAGCCACAGTGTCGTCCTTTGATATGCCAGCTGTCGGTGCCCTGCTGTCCTTCTGCCCAACAGACTCTTAGTGTACCAGGGACAGTGGTTTTGGAGTAACGTTAAGTCGCCATAAGTACACACTCTTATTAACAACAGATTGCTTGCGACACGCCACCCAAATGACCGTATCAGACGTGTTTCCGTCCTGCGTGGGAAATGCTTCGTTAAATAATTTATAAAGTACACCCATGCATAACCCAGAGCCCTTGGCCCCAAGGGCTTACATTCCAGTAAGATAACTTAAGCATCATAGAAAGTAGTTGTTCATATCGATTAGTATCTCACTGAATCACTTCCTAATGATATTTGACAGATCTAGATTTTTCTTAGAGGGTTCTCAGAAGGGAAGCACTTCTTCCTCTCTGGCACATGTTCATGAGGAAGCTTTTTAATTTGATCACAGAGAGAGCCCTGCTTTACAATAAGTAGGAGCTATGTGAAAAGTCCTATACCTCAGGCTCCACCCACTGCCTGAAATCAGACCTCCTAGGGACACATGAACCATCCACGGGCATTTTTCAAAGTTTCCCACTGATTTTCAACTCTGGGCACATCAGATTCATCTTGAGATCTTTTAAAAAATACATATGCTAGGTCACCTGTTTTGGTGACCTAGGCCTGTAATCTCAGCACTCAGGAGGCAGATGCACGAAGACTGCTGTGAATTTGAGGCCAGCCTGGGCTACATAATGAGTTCAAGACCAGCCTGGAGTATATAGCAGCACCGTGTCTCAACAACAAACAGACAGTCATAGAGATTGAGTCGGTTGGTTAGAGATGGCACCCAGGTATCCATACGTTTTAAAAAGATCCGTAAGTAATTCTGCGGTGGAGCCCAAGGTGAAGATCATGACCATGCACAGCCAACTTACTATAGAGCTTTTCCCCCCGAAGGTTAACAACCCAACACGACAGTGAGACTCAAAACCCATCTCAGATCTGAGGCACACTCCGCAGGGTCACTGCTGCACATACCAGAGGAAGTGCGATGGATATTAATTGTGGAATTCAGTTCAGGGCTTCCCTGATCCAGGTAAATGATGGCTTCAATGGGGAGTGGGCCTGCGCATTCGGCCCCGTTGAACGTGAAGTACCAGCGCTGGCAGCACGCACTCCTGCACTTGAGCCTCAGCGAGCCGCTGAACAGGACCCGCAGAGCACTGTGGGAACGCATCTTGGTGAAGGTGCACTCCTGCGACAGACAGGGAGGTGGTCCAGAGCACGGCCCACTCAGGTTAAAAAAGCCTTCGGCATTACGCCGTGAATTTCACTTAACACCCTTATCCTCACACTGTTTACAGAGCTTGACTTTTAGAGAGAGATTCCCAACAAGACTGGGGGAATTAAGAACAAGTTAAGAGACTGTCACAAGAACTCTAGGAAAATCAAACTATGGCCTTCTTAGATTTGTTGCTTTTTCCTTTCTTTTTTGGCCCCATTTAATGTGTCTTTTCATTTTACCAAAACTAACTGGCCACCGGTACTTTTGACCAAACCACTCCATTTTTCCTGTTTGAAAAACATCAACTAAGTGCGAAGTACCGGGTTTACAGACAGCAGCTCAGAAAGCGTGTCCCCGCCTTCCGGCTCGTTTACTCCACACGCAGGAGCAGTAGTAGGGGCCGCTCAGGCAGCCTTTCGGTCTTCACCTCTATGATACTCCTGAGACCTACATGCTTTTTTCTTTCTCTAATTGGCCTTTGCAACACCTGTCTTGTGTGCGGGTTTTGCTTGCTGAATGCTCTGCTACTCATTCTGACCACAGCTAAAAGGAACTTTAAGACACATTAGTGATTTATAATCCAGAAGAAGTTTATAGAGAGAACTCAGCAACTTCTGATGCGATGTATCAATAACTGTAAATAAACAGCCAATCTACCCATGTCAGCTGTTTAATAACCAGGCACTAGTTTGATAAAATGCTTTCTAAGAAGTCAGATGGAAACTCAGGTGACCCCAAGGCAAGACCATCTCGGGCTCCTTTCACAGATAACAGCAGGAAGAGCTGGGCCAGGGAGCAGGAATAATGCATAGACTGCATCTAAAAACCTGAGCTTTGTGAAAATAAAATCTCTTCTACTGGCCCAGTGGTCGAGGTCACTAAACCAGGAAGTACTAAGTTCCAGACATGGACCCAGGCATGGAATTGGTCGCTGGCAGAAGCAAGAGGCTTACAGATTACACCAGCTCCTTCAAGCCCACCTACCCCTTGGACTTGCTGAATGCTTTTAAAGCAAACACCGGTGAGCAACGCCAGACAAGCAAACATCATGAATCGAAACGCAGCGCCAGACACACTCTTCTGAGCGATGCCCCCCGCCCCCGCCACCAAGTGTTGTGGAACAATTTCAAACAGTCACTCCAGTACCTCCCTCTGGTCCCTTTCATCTCTTCTCATGTCAGCAACTTTAGGCTGAGGATGCTGATCCAAGCAAGGAGGAACACTGCCAGACTCCCATCTGCAGAAAATTCCCATCGGGGGGAAATTCCTTCCCACCTTTAGGTCTGACATCACAGCAGTTTCCTACACCAGCCTGGACTTTAATCCACCTTAGGCCAGGATTAGCAAATAGCTTTTGCCATCTGACACGGATACCTATGTTCTCCTCGTTTTATTTTTATTTTTTTGCATTAAAAAGTAAGTTATTTTAGAGATTATGGTTTAAAATCTATGGTGATTTATTTGTCTTAGAAATATATGGTGATTTGTCTTAGAAATAAATTTATAAAATGAACCCAGAAATGTTACCATTTTTCTGTTAAATTTGAGTTAAATATCTTACCTTTTTTTAAAAAGGTGGTTGAAAAAAATATGCTCCCCTAAAAGTTAACAGTCAAATATGAAAACTCTTGTGCTTCACATCAACTTTAATCCAAGCTTTACTTACTGCAATTTTCCCGAGGTCTATGCCATAGTTCAGCGAGCTCCATGAACACTGCTTGTAGTTCGGGGTCCACGACTCCTCGAAGCTCTCCCGCAAGCACTCCCCCTTCTCTCCTTTGAATCCATCCCGGCCGGGGATGCCAGGGGTGCCCGGGACTCCGTTGGCCCCAGGGCTGCCGTCGCGCCCGGGCACCCCCGCCGGGCCCTGCAGGCACGTGCCCAGCCCGTTGTACTGCGGGAGGAGGGAAGCGACACCACTTAGCGCACAGGCTCAATGGGCGCGCGTGCGCCCTGCACCTGCAGGGGTCAAGAATGCTTTCAAATAGCTTGGCCACGCGTCACACCACATCCCTGGGTACCTCACTTAAAATCATCGTCATTTCTCTCATATTTTTGTTGCACAAACTTCACACATGTACGTCAAAGGGAACAAAATGTTTTCGTTCTCCCGTTTTCCCTCTACTGCTCATGATAAGCGCACCTGATGTTACTGAACTGTATTCCGAGGGAAACACAATTTAGTATTCTGGTGCTTTTCTCCTAAATCCATGTCTTATGAAAGGACATGGATTTCTTAATTATACTTTCTTCTTTTCTGTTTCTTTCTCTTTTTTTTTTTTTTTTTTTTTTTTTTTTTTTTTTTTGGAGACAGGGTCTTGCTCTGTAGCTCAGGCTGGCTTTGAACTTTCAGTGATCCTCCTGCCTCAGCCTCCCGAGTGCTCGGATGACAGATGTGTGCCACCAAGCCTGGTTTCACAATCATACCATTTGGGGATGCTTAGTTTATTTTTTTTTCCTATCGTTAATGTTATTGTAATGAAAATCTTTATCCATACAGCATTTCTCTTCTTTTGAATTATTTTTCAAAGCTGAATTTCTAAGAATAATTATCAAATAAACACTCAGCTGTCAATAATTATCTCTGAGTGGCACGTGCACACCCTCTCCCCCCCCCCTTGTTTTTTTGCAGCGGTAGTAGGCTAGGGTAGCATGCTAGCCACCGCCCAAGGAGGAGTGAGTGACTACAGTAGTTCCAGGTGACCGTGGGTCCTTAACAGGGCACGGCAAGCTACCGGAGCCGAGGAGGGGCTGGGCCGTCAGTGTTGTGTCATTTGTGGTACAGTATCTTGGCGAGTTTAAAGGGCATGGATTCCAGAGCCCATTTCTTTGGATTTTCACCCTGGCTCCTCCCTTCTCAGCAACATGGCACAGGGCAGTTACTCCACATTTCTGGGCCTGTCCCCTCATCTGTAAAGTGGAGACTAATAAGGATTCTCTCTCGAGGAGGCCACAGGCTGGGCACTGACCGAGCCTCCCCTCCCGCCCGCTAAGCGTGTGCTGTGCGACCGAGCCACACCCCTCGCCCCCATCCTTGGCCTGTGGTTCGCCCGTGCTTTAAAGTGAGTGGGACACTTGCCAGCCGTGGTGGTGCACGCCTGTAACCCCAGCACTCGGGAGGCTGAGGCAGGAGGATTGTTGTGGGCTCGAGGCCAGCCTGGGCTACAAAGTGAGCTCAAGGCCAGCCTGAACTGCAGTTAGACCCTGTCTCAAAAGACGAAAAATAAATAAAAAAATAAAAAATAAAGTGAGTAGGGCACAAAACGCACTCAGGAGCCAGCCCCAGCCCAGTGCTCTCTGCATGTGCCAGGCCCAGCCGCCCCTCTGACTCCCCGGGACCAGGTGAGTGAGCGTGGCGTGTGCCCTCCTTACCTGGGTCCGTCTGAGAGCGCATCGGCAAGGCCGCAAGGAAGCCACATGCCACGGCCATTTGATGGTGGCAGAGGAGACACCCGGGCTCCCCCTGTCCAACGCCTGTGCCCAGCCCTGAACTAGCTGCAGCAGGGATGCCAGGCACCGGTCCTCCCAAGCCCAGCACAACCCACATACATTTTTTACTTTATCATGTCCTGTATGTTTTCTTTGGCTGAGACAGGGTTTCCGTATATAGTTTAGCCGGGCCGTGCACTCACTACGTAGCCCAGGCTGATCTTGAACTTGTGGCAATCCTCCTGCCTCAGCCTTTGAGTACATTTCCCTAGCTGTGTCAGCTGTCCCACAATCCAGCAAGAACACCAGGTTTCCTTACATATTTCCTTACTTCAAAGCTTAACCTCACTGTCTGGGCTTGGATACGATCAGATTAGAAAACCCAGCGATCACGTTGTCTAGGGAGGATCTCGTGCCGCCAGACTGCTGGCCGATAGATCAGCTCCTCGTACTGCCAGCTTGGATCGGTGATTAGGACCAGTGATTTCCTTATGACTGTGACACTGTGATTTAGGGAACTGACAGTAAGGAGAAAAGGGCACAAGTGATTATGTACTGTTAGAGAATCAATAATAGAACTATTTAGGTTCCAGAAGTACTTGAAGACATGCTCAGGTACAAAGCATTTTAAGTTTGACATACTTGAGGCTTAATTTTCATTTCAGCCGTTTCATTCACTCTCACCAGCAGCTATTTTTCATGTTTGGATGGATATTTGAAGTGGGAAGGAAGAAACTTTCGGTAATTTTTTTTGTTTTTTTCTTTCACAGTGATTTCCCTCAAGGCAATATGCTACACAGCCGGTCTCATTTTCCTGTGTTATCAGTTTTTCTCAACTGGAGACATCTCTATCCCCCGGGCACACTTGGCAATGCCTAGAAACATTCGGGCTGTCACCCTTGGGGGTCACTGCCGCTGGAGTCCAGGGAGTGGGGCCAGGAGTGCCGCGCTGGGTCTGCGTGCACCTCTGCATCTCGGGACTGATCTCAGAGACCGCGGACGTCACCACCCTGGGTTCTCAGGCACACACCGGCCTCCGTCCACTGTAGAATGCCCGCCCCACCCGCGTTCAGACTCGGGTTTGCACAATCGCTCGCCGCTCAGTCCCCTCTGTGTCCACCAGGGGGCAGAACCCGGTGAAACTTGCAGGCTGTGGAAGTCCTGTACAAAGAAGCGGCTCCACAGCGCCGGTTGAACCCTGCTCGGAGACTACGCGGACTCTTCTGCCACCAAGCCGGCATCCCACCCACTGGGTGACCCGAGCCCGGCAGCGCAGTGCACTTTTCCGGGCTGAGAGTCGTGGGAAGCCGCGGGTGCGGTCCCGTAAAGCCTCAGAGAGAGAACTGCTAGCTTTGCGGGGAAGCGGGTACTTTGTGGGCCACACCTACACATTTGTAAAATGCAGAGCGCACATAAACCGCCGCAGTGGGCACAGCTCTGACGATTTAGACCCTTAAAATAGAACCGTGCCGCGGACACAGGCCACATCACACAGCGCGGGCAGGGCGGGCGCTCTCGTCCCGGCGCCGTAGTCCAGGGAGCCCGGCTGGCGGCGCGCTGGCTCGCAGCTCCCGGACTTGAAAACGAGCAGAGCGCAACCCGCTGTGCGCCTCGCCGCGGCTGAGAGCGCGCTTTGGGCCCGGGCGCTTACGGGCACCGGGGCCGGTCGTGCGGGGACCGGGCCGAGCGGAGACAGGGCCGTGCGGGGATTGGGGCGTGCGGGGACCGGGGCGTGAGGGTACCGGGACATGCGGGACAGGGCCGTGCGGGGACAGGGGCGTGCGGGGACCGGGCCGTGCGGGACAGGGGCGTGGGGGACCGGGCCGTGCGGAGACAGGAGCTTGTGGGGACCGGGCCGTGCGGGGACAGGGGCGTGCGGGGACCGGGCCGTGCGGGACAGGGGCGTGGGGGATCGGGGCGAGCCGGGACCTGGCTGTGCCAGCGCCGGCCGCTGTCCTGGGGTCTGGGCTCACGGTTCCCGCAGACCCGCGCGGCGGTGCCGTCCCGGACCGAACGCGCCTCTCCCTGAGCTCGGCCCTGGCAGCCGCGCACTGCAGCCCGCGGGGTCCACACGGCGCAAACCGAGCGCGCCGCCGCCTCTCTCCCGGCCTTGCAGCCTCAGAACCGAACCACGCCGCCTCCACGCGGCCCACGAGCGACTGCAGCCTCGGCCCGCAGCTGGCCGGTCCCCCGCAAGGACGGGTCGGGCCGGCCGGGGACAGCGGGTGCACCCAGCTCC